AAATTTGCCCTCCAGCACAGCTGCCACATGAGTCCTAAAGAGGAAGTCATTTGGCAAGCTGGTGCACAACCATGGGTCAGCTCAACTTGCTCAATGTGCCACCTGCTGCCACCATCTCTCTCCCATGATCCCCTTTGCCATCACTGACGATGACAATGTCATGCACCGCTGCTGTCATCTCCCATCAGCTACTTCCCACTCCTGCTGCCACTATGTTACCCCACAAGTTCAACCACCAACCTTGCACATCACAACTCAAGAAGCCCAGAATCAGGCTATCAGTGGGGGCACGATTATCGCTTAGATGGAGCCAATCTATTCATGATTGACATATCATACTACTATGAGTAGTCGCTATGTGCAAAATTTTGATGAATGATTTTCTGTAGCTCTTACCTGCCATCCATATCCTTTAAAATTTTATGAGTATATTTCTAGGTATTCTTCGATGCTTTGATAAATATTAAGGGGCAATCTGTAGAGTAGAACAGTTGTCAGGCAGTGACTGAGGTGGAAGGGTGAAAAAATCGCTATGTGCAAAATCCCATCACAACAAATGTCACAGTCAAATTGGAAGTCTGCCATTGCCATGCAGCGAAATGTTGGACTTGTCACAGGACATTTTATTGACGTAACCGAGACACGGTGAAGAGGCTGGCTGTGGGCACCTGTGGAATAGTGAGTGGGCTAAAAGGCGAACCTCAAAAACCCACACACACACTCACACAACTACACAAACTACAATCACCCTTGTAAGTTCTAGGGGGAGTGATTATTTCTAATGCGATCCAACTATACTTCAATATCTCGAAGAGTTTCTCTTATTCTCAGTGCTCTTAGCGAAGCTAAGCTTTCTCTAATGAATTCCCAAGTCTAGGAACTTTTTACAGGAAGGTCGTTCACTGGCATGATGCAACCTTCAAGGCAGATTTGAGTTATAATACACAAGGGACACTGATCCTGACAGAAACAAAGGCAATACATGCTGAAACTTTAGTGAGCTCACTAAAAGAACACCACAGGCAAGCACTGACTTAGCCTGCTCGCTACACAACTGTATGTAGGGGTTCTCCAACTAACTCCAGCAGGTTATCTCAACTCAAGAACACTTCAGAAGTGCTCGGAAACAGATTCAGAAACGGAACTTTGAACAGAACTGACATGGAACAGACTGAAACAGAACAGAACAGAACAGAACAGAACTCAGATTTCCACTTCAACACATTCTCTGAACAGACTTATCACACTTAACAGAACAGAAACAGTGTCACTGATTCGTATTCACTCTGACTAAGTTCTCAAAGGTCTTATCAAAAGGGTATCTCGTATTTCTCTGAGTGAGCTCACTAATTCTATGCAAAGCTCGAAGTCACAAACTGATCCTTTGTTACAGTACTGCCTTCAATGCGTGCACGGGAACTCGGGGGCTCGAAACTTGGCCTCTACCTACTGTAACCAGCCTACTTGTACTACAGGGGAATTAGAATTACAAACATTGTGCAGTACCCAGACTCCTACATGCGTAGCACATTGCCACCACCGCCTTACTGAGCATCCGAGTCGGACTTCCCAGTTTTAGTCTCATTTCTATAGTGAGCTTGCTAAATGCATGCCAAGAGGTGCTCTCCCGACACCCGTGGGCTTGTTCTCTAGCGACCGACAGGTCTAGGTGCCCAGAACTATCAGTCCTGGCATATGTCATTCAAGACTTCTTTCTTGGATTCACAGAGGCTTCTCATAGACACAGCAACAAGTGAGTCTTCTAACAATGGGACACGGGCTCACGGACTTCAGCCGAAGCCCATTGCCCAAGTTCATGCCGGTGATATCTGTCATCTCGCTTAAGGATTTCCCCAGATTTTCAGGTACGACGTGTCACAGTTAGTGAGCGTGCTAAGTACTCTCAGTGTCACTGCAATCTTCAAGGTTTTATCTAGCTCCTGCGAGCGTGCTTGTAAGTTAGAGCCTAAGGCATTGGGTATAGGGTTTGGCCTTCTCATCACACATGCCCGTCAGGTACAGTGCTGTGACTAAGTCCTGTTTAGAATCCATTGCTTCTTATGCCATAAGTTATATTCCATATCATTGCACCACGTAGCATTAGTGTCGACACGTAGTTTTAGTCCGCTCGCTCACTATATCTCAGTATGCATGTAAAACACTCTAGATTGCAAAATTACACATGTAAATAGGCTGCAGTCGCAACAACGGCAGAGCTGACTTTGAAACTGTCACATTCTCTACCACTGAAATCAATGTTTCTCTCATTTTTCATGCATCCTTCAGGCAATAGGTCTGGATCCTTTTGTTTTGAACTCTTAAAGTATGCCCTATTCATGCCCACAAGTTATTTCAGGCCTACAGTTATGGACAATCAAAGACGACAATTTGATTTCCAGCTAAACCAGATTTTCTGGGGCAAAAATAAGTTCAGATTCAGAAAGCCAGAGGCCGAAAACATCTAAAAAACACCCTCCGAAGTTTTTCCCATGACATTTTTGCAGTGCCAAAATTTTGGACTAAAAAATCAAATTGTGTGTACCCCTTTTGGCCTCACCAGCAGACATCACTCAGTCATTCAACTCTATCAGAAATATCCATGGCTGGAAACCACACAGCACTGATTCTGCTACCTTTCAGACATCCCTGTATGCTCATCAGCCAATGACAAATTGAATCTCCAAAGATCCCATTTACTCGGCAAGCATGCAGTGATATTAATTACACCAGCCCTGTGCCTGGGCCCTTCACTTGAATGCTGCTGAGTGTTACAGGTCACTCAGGTAGCACTTATATTGATGGATAACAGAAGATCTGGATTGCTTTGGAGTATGTTTCTAGATAAATGCTATTAAGAGTTTGTGACTTCTGGTTGCTAAGTTCTTCCTCACTCTTAGTCCCTCGGATCTGGGCCAGGCAAATACCTGATCCTTCAATTCTCAGACATCAACTCAGCAGCATGATTTCTGAGCCTATTTATATTATGACCTGCCTATTTTGAAGCTTTGAAGGCTTGCCCCTGCCTTTCATGATGGCTGGTTTGTGGGCAAATGGCTTGATAAAATTTAATGATCTTGACACCATCGGATGTGGATTTTGAAAAGGAGTCGATTGTGCTATCTCTGAAGTTTTTCCCATGACTTTTTGGGGGTACACCAAATTTTTGGGATAATTTTCGGTCAAAACTCACATTCTGCAAAATTGGCTTGTGCAAATATCTTTATTAAGTCTATATCTTCACTTTTATGCAAAAAAACCCAGCTGTTTACCTGACCAGGGTCCTTCTAAAAATGGGTCAGATTTTTTGTTGTCTTTGATTGTCCACAACTGTACCAAAGGCTATTGGTGAGAAACTGGAAGTAGCCAGTCCTTACACAGGCCATTTTCTGATGGTGATTGCTGCCTTGCAAGGCTTCCTCAAGGCCTACAAAAAAAACTACTGTGTACTATGGGTTATATACTTTCAATGGGCCATCAGAAAAAAAACCAAAGCCAACAACAACCTAGAATGTGCTGCAAACCAAAATTTGCACATCGCAATCCATTTGCACATTGTGATCACCCATAGTATTAGTGGGCCATGGCATTGCTCTGGGACCAAGGTTTAGCTCATGAGAGAATATAAGTATATTTATCTGCTTATTCTTAGTTCTAGTAGTTGTAGACTTGTAGTGTCATTGTAACATCTTCTTAGTTGTGGTGTTTGCATGTATATAAAACTATTGTTACTAACTGAAAAAGAAAAAAATTACTGTAAGCTCTGAAGGGACTTATTAAAATTTCTCTTGGATGCCACCCAGGACTTCACTTAGCACTCGCGAACCAGTTCATTACAGCAGTTTTCATAATTATGTGGAATTCCGATTTTGAAAAATTATGTGATCCTATTTGCACCACATGTTGGCCTGGTATGCAAAGTGCTCCACCTTTTCATGTGATTTCACTGGTTTACATTTATATATCTTATACTGCACTTATGTTTTGTTGAATTAGGATGTATCAATGAAAGACCTTTTCCCATGTAGTAAGGTCAAAGTACGTTGCTAATTCCAAAGGATTGCCAGCACAAGACAGATGTCGAGTCTGACAAAGTCAAGAGACCGAAGCTTATTGATACCATCTGGATATGGAGATGCCAGGTCCAACAATATTAATTGATGAGTATAGCAGCATGTAGTGCTTGAGGATGCCACTTTCGAGTGAGCACAGAATGACAAAGGCTGGATTCTCAAAGGTTTTGCCTCACTCGGTGTAAGTGACTTCCTTTTCAGGGGGTCACATCACAGTAACGGAGGGCCAATCTAGCCAACTTGCCAATTTGAATTTGTGCAGCAGTGCCAATGTAGTTTATGCTCATGAACTTGGGTGCATTTCAGTTTGGTTTCAGTGACTCATTGGATTCAGGGCAATTCTACTCTAGTATTCTTGGATGTTCTGAGTGTGTAGGCTTGGAGTTCAAAGCACAGCTATGTGCTTCTTGTACTTATGTGGCCACAACCATCTCAACGGAATTTTCACTGCTGCTGATCAGAGATTGATAGATACCCTTTGTCTACCGTCTTACGATTGGATCCCTCTGGCACTCAATCTTCTTCTATTTCTGTGTTAGCTTGGTCCATCCAAACATCAAGCTCACAAACACAAGGTGAGCTCTGAAGTGTTTGATATTGACTCATCTACTTCGATCTGGCTCTGGTGATTGTTACAGCACTGCATAGAAGTTTTCAATCATGCCATCTCAGTTCTTGCCTCAAGGAGAACCTAGAGCTCCCTTATATCCTTTTCAATTGACACTGAAAATCAATTTTGTAGTTATCGATACAAGATATACAGCATACAAACGAATTATATTGGTTGTATATCTGTCATTGATCAATGATGATTCGAAGGCACCCAGAAACCATGGCTGTGCTGATCATCTTCTCGTGCTCTTCGTACATCCTGGAAGCTACAATATAAAGACCGTGTCTATGGACCTGCATCTGCTTATCGACTACAAGATGTCAGGGACTGTGCCCATCACTGAGGTTGCACAATGTGGGTAGTATTTTATTGCTCCCAGATGTCTTTGAACAAAATTCCAGATATGACATGGTCTTTGATCTCATGGGACTATCTCATAACCTTTGACGATGAGGTGTGTTGTCCCTCAATCCTCATAGTGAACTTTCCATTGATCAGCTTGAAGATCACACTATTCTGGGTACGCCTTCATTCTAGCAAGGCTTTATTTATGTATGGCACATGACAAACGGGTCGACAGTTTTCAAGAAGATTGTGGATCAAGTTTTTATTCTTTACAGTAAGTTGTTGTCAGGCGGCAGATGCAAGTTGTCAAGGTAAATGTTTCAGAATCACTATCTGGGACTCATTCTTCGGATTTTGGATATCATCTGTGCATCCTGTCCGATGCTATTATCTCCGGCTACTGGATTTATGTCCTATTAGATGAAGTGCTTGTAAATACGGTGAGTCATGCTTAAGGCTTTGAAATTGTCTCATCCCTCATTGACCAATGTAAGCTGGGCTGGGATCTAAACATTGCTTCAGTCCAGCTAATCTGACTTATTTGCTAAGCATCAAGCATAGATGCATAAATGGTCAGTATCTAAACTTCTTTGTGTACAAGTCGTCAAGGGCTTACAATGCACACCACTTTTTTCTGTAGTCAGCAACAACTTGTCGCTGTTTAAGCTCTGTTATCTGGGTACTTTTTCCGAGTCCCTTATATATGGTACATGGTGCCACTTCCATTTATTATATGACTAACACTTCTGTGGCTTACATCTACATCTAGTGACATTGCAGCTATTTATCATTGAAAGTATCCTTGTCCTCCGAATATGGGCAATAATGGGGAAGCAGCGGTGGATCTTGTGGACTTTCTTTGGCTTGCTTGCCTGCAGCACAAGCACATCTATTGTGATTTCTCTATACTTTGCCACTGGCACAGGCTGCTTGGTATATGGGTAGGTGTTTTCCTACATAATAATCTCCCTTTTAACTGTCCTCCAGGATACTGACCCTCATATATGAGACTATCATCTTCATCTCTGCAGCGTATTATGGAATCAAAGAATTAGGAGGCATAAGGTCACTCTTGTTAGGACATATGGTCCTGTTGGCATATGGCCCTAGGCCTATTATGTGTCTACTCTTCCAAGGTACAGTTCTATACTTTATAACGTGAGCATCATCCTTTATTACCTTTACTCTTACATGTTTAGTGTTGGTTGTTTTCAGCATACTCTGCTCCGTCCCAGTTATGTCGTTTCTGGTATGTCAACATACTTTTCCCAATCAACAAGCTTTGATGACTCCCTTGGGATCCAGGATCCCCACTTGGGCCTAACAATTATGAGTGTTACAATGAATCATATGCTTCTCGGTCTTCAGAAGCAGGCTCTTTCCGATTCCATTGTTCAATATTCCCAAGGGGTGGAATTGACGACATTCAGATAGTCTGGCTGTGGTCTGGTTCAGAACTGTGTGGACCCGGTCTGAACCTGAACCAAACCTGCAGGTCTGGGTCCGGTCCAGGTTCAGGTCCGGCACAGCCATCTGGGTCCAGGTTCAAGGTTCGACCTGTTTAAAAATTCTGGACCCGGTTCGGACCCGGTCCGAACCCGCTGAACCTCGAACTATTTTCACTTCATCAAGATGAGTATCTGGTGCTATCTGCTATGGCATGCAACTATCTCGCTGTCCCAGGATGATCTGCACCATCAGAATGTGCTTTCTCACATGTAAGCCATACTGATTCTGACCCTCATTGATGAAACCTTGGCACTGAGAAGTCTGGTACCATGCAACGCTTGAAGGAGGCTTATTGGGATGGTTGCATGAGTGCCCAGAATGAAGCTTGAATGGATATTCAACCTTGCTTTGATGATGTGGATTCAGATATTTAGCGTAGTTGGTGAGTTCTACTGGTACCCAATATATACAGCGAAAATTTTACTGAACCCGGTCTGAACCTGGACCGGACCTGAACCGGACCTCTTGGACCTGAACCTCAGGTCCAGGTTCGAGGTTCAAGGGAGTGGGGAGTGAACCTCGAGGTTCAGGTTCGAGGTTCAGGCAAATTTGCCTGAACCTGGACCGAACCGGACCCCAGCCAGACTACATTCAGAGCTACCACAAATGAGGTGACATCGTTGTAGATGGAGACATTTGGCATGAACATTGGTCACGTAGACATGATCAGAAGTACTGGATTTTCTTTTCTGACCCAAAAATGATATACGAAGTGTTGCCGTTGAACCCAGACAACCTTGAAGTTAGTAGGGAACAAAAGTGGCTTGCATCTGTGGAAATGTTGTTATGGGGACTGACTACGAGATATACAGGCTTACATACTCTGAAATCCTTGAATGTCTCTTCGGAAAAAAAATCCAAGATAAAACGAAGATAACTGGAAAACTGGATAAGTAAAGTCTTATGGCCTAGGCCAGCCCGTAAGGGAGGAAACTTGAACCGGCCACGGTAATGCATCACCATCGCTTCGCTTTCAGCTTCTTGAAATATGGCTTCATGTCTATCCCATCTCTTATGTTGTAAACTTCTCTGCTCAACATCTACTATGTGCCTAATCTGAGATCTCGCACCTCATTGCTTCTGCGGACCACAACTTCAAGCAAGTTCTCATTCTGCTAATTAGTTCAAGGGTGACTATTCTCTGTGTTAGAGAGCATGCAAACTAAGCTTATAGCCCTTGAATTCCGCACTATATTTCCTCTGCCTTGCGTCGACTGTGTTTCAGCTACCTTGTATGGGTCATTGTCCGCGTTGGAGATCAGACACCAGTATCTATTTCATCTGCCAATTCTTCGTCAAATTTTATCACGTTGCCAGACTCAGGTATCATTTTCTCTCGCAATCTGGTATGACCGAATGGCGATAATTTTACGCCAACCCCAAAATTTATCATGTTTCTGTCTTCGTTTCTCATGATCATCCAGATTCATCCTTCATGATTTCATTTATCAGCCCCCTCTTGTGATGAAACTCCCGCACCAAGCATACAGGATACAAAGAACCTGGGGTACCTTGTGGGCATCTCATCGTGTTTCCGTCATGGATTTTTGCCTATCTGATGCTGTAGCAAGTCCGGCATTTCTTAATTTCATGTTTGACCAATCTTTTATGAAAGATGAACAACGCCACACGAGTTGACTTCTTTGTCTGCAGTGAAAATTCAGACGTTCCTTAATACATTTCCCTCGAAGCTGTTATTTATTCCAATTTAATAAACAAGCCAAGAAGTCAACTTGAAGGACCCCCCGAGTCAAGCTTACTGCGGTGAACCGGCTCACCGGACCGGCAGGATGTTTGTAGGACCTGTTGAAGGCAAATACTGTCCAACCTCTGTTTCTTCCTACTCTCACTGCCATCGAATTAATCCCCTCGCCCCAGAGATGTCAAATATTCTACGTTTTCTCCTACTCTCTACCTTTTCATCGAACAATTTTAGTCATGCAAATGCCTGCGTCACTGCTTCCCAGCAAGAATCGCTTTGAGTGCCATTGTTTCGACCTCGCGAGGCATGATGTCTCTCCCGATGAATTCAAAAGGGCGTGCATCTCATGAAGCTTATATGTTCGAGGCGTCGTAGGCTGGTGGTACGTTGCAGCAGTTCGTCGACCTTCGTCAACTATACAGACTTTTGAATTTGAACTAGGCTCCAGGTCGCGTGTTTATCACCGAGTCATTTCATTGGGGCCAGAAAACAAACAGTTTTCAATCATTTCCATACGCTCATGCAGCTTTCGATGCGCGGGCCGCGTTTGAAACGTAAACAACTGGCTCAGCTGTCAGTACCTGAACCTGGAAGGAAAATCTATGCCAGATAGAAAAAACCATCCGTTGACATGACGATAACATACAGCATGGTCAGCGAATAGCTCAGACACAGCAGGCTTGTGGTACGTCACGAAGATATGTTTCATACCATGTGTCTGAATGACACTTAGATCGTCCCATGGATGCAAGGGCGCGCGAACTGCTGGTGCTTTGGTATGGTCATTGAATTTCGGTGGTCAGTTATGATCTAAATTTTTACCTGCAGTCGCCAACATCGGCGTGACCAGGTCAGATGGAGCTCTGCAGCTGTATCCTGAGGGCCGTTAATTTACACGAACTTGGAGCGACAAGTATTGCTGCTGGATCCTCATTTCACCTTCACCACCGTCGTATACGCTCATCCAGGGAGATCCTTCCGAATTCAACGAGCGTGTGCCTACCTAGCCCGTAGATCTGGCGACGGAATTTATATCAATGATCGCTATCGATGTGAAATGACCCTCGTCGTTTGTACTTTTCTCGCTATTCTAATAGAATACCTGACTGATTAGCGCTCTAGTTATCCTCATAACACATAAGAGCGTTGCTCTGTGCGATTGTCCACGAGGATGTTACACCAATGGTATAGCTAGCTGGAGCATAACTGCTGTGCTTAGGGTAGGCCCTATCCAGCCCGTCTTTGAATCACGCAATGACTGTACTTTTTATATTAGGAAGAGGCTATGAAGAGAAGATAGGCAAAAGAATGTCAAGAATTGCACAAGGATATACGGACGAACTTGAAGAACGTTCTGTTCTTGGGCACCACACTAATCAAGCCCTTGGCACGGTTATAGCACCCCACGGAGAGACCCCGTACTTCCCCGAAATCGTGGCATCATCCCAAGCGTCGTCGTTTGTCGCCGGGAGCTCGAACCCGCTTGGAACTCCAACGAACGATTTCCAGGTGTTATCTGTAATGTAGGACACCGATGTACCGTCATTGTATGCCACTAGGATGGTGCCAATCACACCAGCGGGACCTCCTGTGTTAACGCCATTCACGGCGAACACATTCTCATCAGGGTTCAATTGGGGCACGGAGTACGCTTGAGCGGCAGTGTAGTCGCTTCCTGAACCAAGGTCTTGGCCGTTAGCGTAAAGGGTGTAGCCATTGTCTCTGTGATGGTTACCGTCAGCATTTTTCCAATGAAGCGCTGAGTAGAATCGACATACGTGGTCAACACCACCTTCGCACAGACAGCTCCCTTTCCGTATGGCGATTGGATGGTCTTTCTGAAGGCCCTGTTTCCAACAGGTGCGGTTACTGCTGCGTTAGCAGATTCTTTCGTCCAAATCCAGTTGCTCTGCGTCAAATCCAGGGCGGGCGGAAGGGCGATAGCTCCCCATGGTGCCATCCCGGCCTTACCCTGAACGTTCGCTGCAATCCAGGCGGAGTCGTCCAAGCTGGGGTTTTCGAAGCCGGCCGTAGTGGGCGCTCGGAGAGTCTTCCAAGACGCGTCCGTGACAAACGTCTCGCTGGTTCCGTCGAGGTAGTCGACATGAATTGTGGCGATGAGTCCGGCGGGACCACCGGTGTTGGTGGCATTGATAGCGATAACATTGTCGACTTCGGGGTTGAGACCGACGGTGTATACCTGGGATGTAGAGCCGCTGCCTTCGTAGGCTATGCCAGAACCGATCTCAGCACCGTTGGCATAGAGCGTGTAGCGATTATCACTAGACAAACAGGTAGGTAAACCGCCGACTTTTTTTGACGAAGAGAAACTTACGCGATGATTATGACAGTCGCACATACGGGGCACTTGGTATTGGTGTGAGGAATTGTCTTGCGGAATGGACGAGGACCGTTGGGGGCGGCACCACCTGGACTCGCGGTTTCTCCAGTCCAGATCCAGTTGGAGTTGTCGAAAGTGAGGGGCTGATCTTGGGCCCGGGCTACGAGGGAGGTAGTCACGGCAGCCGTTCCATTGACAGTAAGGCCTAAACACACGGTTTAGAAATGCGTAGTTGGGATGAGCCACAGAGCCCTACCTCGTTCCGACGTCGGCAAAGCCGTCGTGACTGCGGAAAGCAGGATTGGGAGCAAGGAAAGAGCTATGAATGCTCCGTCAGATGAGCAACAACGTTAGCCAAGGGAATGCCTACCGTAGGCGAGCATGCTGTAAAAGAGAGGAAATCCTGTTGACGGATGCTCATTTACGATGCTTAGGTCGTGTTTTATACTCAGAGACGGTATGCGCTCAACCGTGTCATAACGTCGTGGCTTGTTCCCGTGAGCGCGCTACACTCTGAACAGGATGCATCGAAGGTCCGACAAGCGCCTTCGAACAATCAGTTGTTCGCACTAAGCGAAGACGTGATGAATGATGATCGGGAATCATTGCTATATGCTCAAGCTGTTCACTCATCTACGCATCGACGGTATTGGTGTTAATGATAGTCAATCAGACACAAAACTCTGAGTTATTTGCTAGTAGCTAATGTCATAGTATTGAATCGCGTTAATCAGAATGTAACAAGCGAATGCTGTATGAACTACTCATTTCCAGAAGGAGTAGACGACAACTCGTGGTATGACAGCCAGAACAAAGAAGCTGAGAAGCCTAATCAATGTGTTTTAGAAAACATCAAAACGCGGAAGTGAGTGCGAAACTGAAGTCACCTAGGCTCAGGATGGAGGATTCCTTGTCTCATGACGCGGGATGTTTGGACTTCCCGAAAAAATTTTCGGTGTCATGAAAATTCTGAGGTCTCGGTTGGTGTCGTATAGTACGCCGCTGGGCTTGAAGTGGGAAATCAAGTACCCGGCTGTGAGCTTAACGCGCATCTGACGTGAATACAGTTTAATCCCAGCTAATGATGTTGCCTTGTCCTGGGGAAATTGGGAGCCTTCTACTTGCAAGTTTCGTCCATTTTGTCCCGAGTTCTCTATGTCCAGGGGAATACGAAGCTGTCAATAAAACCCAGAGGCTTTGTGTCACATGGTGAATAAAGATGATGACCCTACTATATGCGTGGTAACTTTAAGGTGATTTCCGTCTTCACCGGTTCGAAGGCGTGTTGCATCTGAACAGTCAGTACGTCTAACACAGGAAGTTCCATTCGAGAAGGTGGTAAAAGACAAGGGGATTTAGCGCTAGAGGTCCTTGAAGGAGAAATTTTAAATATGTATGATACAATTGCACACAGCACAAATTTACTATTGTACAATGCAAAACATCAGGTGAACTATCGAGTTTAAGGAAGTACCGATTGCAACATCAACTAATAGTTAATAGTTAATAGAGTCGTTAATGCGGTATGCAAGAGTAAACGCACCATGAGACTCCTCGGGTCAGCACCCACCATCTCCTGGATCTTCTTACCATCTTTGAAGGCAATAAATGTGGGCATCTAGGGAGGACCATCAGACGGCGGATCCCAATGACGTCAAACCAAACCTACGGCACGTATCTCCATCTCTTCAGCAATCCTCGTCTGCTTGTCTACATCAACTTTATAAAAGTCGATCACTGCCAAGTCATCAATCTCGGAGAGCTGCTGGAAGATCGGAGAGATCATTGTGCAGGGTCCGCACCACGAGGCCCAGAAATCAACCACAGCGATTTTATCACGTTTGATCTGGGAAGATGTGGAAAAAGCTCGGTCAGCACCAGGCTAGACGTGCATCGATTAAGGAAGCGTACTGCTTTCTGGAAGTCTTCATATGAGTCGAGAGGTTCTACGGGCATTTTCTAACAAAACAGCCACACTTCTGGGAGGGAATGTAAGAATGAAGGTGGCGGATGATGGGGAAACGATAGGCCAGTCTTTATAGACAGCTGTGATATCTTTCCACGTTGCGTCCGATAAATTGCAAAGCAAGAGAGACGATCACGTTATCATGATGGATCATGACTAAACGCCGTCAGTGACGTGAATATGGGCCATTTGCTCTTTGGGTGAGCAAATCAATAAGATTCAATGATAGAAAAGGTCTAAAACCCAGCGGAAGAGTGAAGGTTTGATACGGTATCTGCGAAGCGGAGGTAATTAATTGTTGGTTTAGGTCGGGTTTTCGAGGAATCTAATTTCATGGGGGAGTCAACTGGCCGACTCGGATCTGCGGAAACCCATCAGACTCAAGCCAAGTGATTGACAAAGCTATGCTTTTCAGGTCCGTGATTATGGACAATGATAGGCGGACGGAGTGCATGCTCCCAGACCCCGCGTTCACCAAAACGGATAGCAGATAGTTCGAACGAACATTCTTTTCGACCAATACGCCTGACAAAACAATTGCTTACGGTCGAGACAATTCATGGTTTACAAGGTAGAAGCCATCAGAGCTAAAGCGACAAAGAAACCTTCAAAGGAACAACTAGTGCAGAAAAGAAACGATCAAAACGACAAATGCTGCGAGTATAATATCTACTAACCCCATGTTCATCAGTTCCCCAAACGTGACGAAGGGATGGAAAAAGCTCCGCGTGTTGAAGCTCAATCAGCGATGACAAACGGCTGTCTCATGATTTGGCCGAGACTTTATCTAGACGTGTAGGTCGAGGCGTAGTGGCCGTAACCTCTGCGAAACCGGCCATATACGAGAATACAAGAGGTAAGCAGCTGTATCGACGGGGAAGGAACGAACACGTTCACGGCCTTGGGTATGATTAATTTTTAACATTGAGGCAATCACCGTTGCACAAATACGATCTAAAAGCGAAGCCCTGGATGGAGATGAAAGTATTAGCTGTCTGCAAAACGATAGACACAAAACCTTTATACCACCGGAGAAAAAGAAGAAATAGAAAATCAAGCGAGGCACTGGTCCTGACCAAACGATATCCCATCAAAGTACGGTCCTACATCCGAATCAGTACTTTCCCTTTTCAAAGGAACCAACCTTCGGACGTACCAGAATGATCGTTTATCCCATCTACATTGGCAGTAGCTAACAGCCCCACCCCATCCGCACACCCCGCCGACCCATTCTCCTGCCCCTTGCACGCCCTGGCGCCTCCCTCTCCGAGATGTACCTCTCCCTGTGCATGGACAAAACCCATTAAAGTTAACGGCACATGCGGCACAGGGTCCTCCTTGTTTGTAATCCTCGCGTAGCTTCCATTGGAGAATGAAGCGTCGACAAAATCGGCGAAAGCTTGGTTGCCGATACGGGGAGATCCAAAGGTGGTGGTTCGGATAGATACGCTGGTGAGCGCGTCATTGAGCATGAGCGCATCGAGCGTCGCTAGCGTGGCGCCAAGGGAATGTCCTGTAAGGACTACGGTGGTTGCTCCAGTGCTGGAAATCCCGTATTTGACGATGGAGAGGACAATCGGAGCGGTTCGTAAGAATGTGTCGAGGAAGCCGAAATGGACAAGGATGTTTTCTGTGATAAAAAGTCAGTGCCGAAGAATCGACATAGTAAAACGCATACTTTGCGCCGCCGAAGGGAAAACTTTAGTGTCGATTGGGATGAGAGGGAAATTGACGTCGTTGGCGATGGAAATTCTGATGGTGCGCCGTCAGTACAATACCGTTGAAGAGAGATAGTAGATATACGCACATACTGTTCGGGTCAGTGCCTTGGTGCGCCACGAAAATCGAGTTAGTCAATTTATCATGAGCAATTACAACTACGCCAATGTTGGTTAGGGCACAATAACAAAAGGAAAGAAAAAGCAACGTACATCGTGGTATGTACCCTCCATCACCACCAGTGCCCAGAATCTCGACTGAATCTGCACCAAGAGCATCGCACGGTGCGCCACAGCTGAAAGCAAGAACAGCAGCGCTAGCGCAGTACACGACACGGCTGAAGAAAGCAGGACGAGAGAAGGCAGCCGTCAAATCTGAAGGGCTAACGCTGGTTGTCACATTGGACCCCGTGGCTCCCAAGATATCATCAAAAGCACCCTTCGCCCCAGCAGTAATGACCTCGACCGCTTTGTTGGGAAGGTTTACAGCCTTGCTAAGAAGATCGCCAATGTCCAATGGCGTAGGCGCCGCCCCGACAGTGAGGAAAAGCTGAGAAAGAAGGGAGAAAAGGAAGGTGGACGTTAACATTGAAAGCGACAATGGCAAAGTGCACGAGGAGAACAAGGAAAGGAACGCCTGTATCACTCGACGGGTAGGACTCTCGTCTTTTGATCGTTATGGGATGCTACTGCTTTCTTTTCTTGAAGTTGGCGCTTCTTCATCGATATTAGTGGATTGACGTTTAGTGAAGAAATCGGAGGAAGGGAGGACGGTTCTTAGAAGTCACCGAATGAATTTGAATTTGTTGTGAAGAACTGATGTGACCAAGCGCGCGCTTTCATCCTGAGTTCCAACTGTGCCATACAAATCACTTGAAGCGGCCCAGCAACTAGTCTATCTGCAGGAAACGGGATAGATATTTTGGGCCGCTATACGAAACCTAGATCAGGGTATCGCAGATCCACATCGGGGCCATGGTTTGTTCAATCACAATACCCTGCCCAGAAAGTGAACGGATGAAGGATGGGGATACATAGGTTGAGCAAAACTGGCGAACCGAAAGCGTTGGTCCTCACGCGGACCGTGATGGTGCATCTGACAGAGAAGGGGGAATCCATGACACCACCGAAACTAGTACTCATGGAACAAGTCAAGGTAACCCATGTGCTGAATGCTTCGAATGACGATCCCTTGCATCCTGACACCGATCTTCCGATAGTGGCAGATACGAACTTGACATCACATTGGGTGATGTTCTGGCATCAGAAAATACAGCCATGCAGTGTCGTCGTCCTGCTGGCGCAAGGACGAATTAGAAGCACAAGGCAAGAATAAACGCTACAAGGATTCGCTATTGCATCCAGATCAGGGACCGGTGTGATTCGGAAATGGCCAAGAGGCCTATGCTGTCGACGTAGTAAACTGGGAAATTTACGGAGGTAAGGGTAAGCTGATGACGAAGATGTAAATGGAATCATGGGAATGGCCCAAGTTTTGCGCCTGCTTATGGTCATCGGGTGGGACGATGGTAAGAAGTCGGCATTTCGGCGTCCGAAGCAGGAACGCGATACGTCATGGTACAGAATATGTCATTGACACGACATACTTAGTGGAAATGGCACCCTGGGCCGGTCTTCACTTTAGTGCTGTAGATAATGTTGAAGTCGCAGCGTCCAAAAAGGTGGTAGTAATGACGAGGGATGCATCTAGTAAATGCCCGTTAGTCAAGGTTTGACAGATCTCAGGGTAACTTACCTTTTATTTTCATGAAAGAATGCAAACATATACTGAAGGGTGGTAGAAGCCAAGGGAATTTCGATGTACGTACTCCAAACACGTCCTGCAGACAAAACCTGAGTAAGAGGGCGAGAATACTCCTCGGTAGGTGGATGGCATAATCGAGAGATCGCAAGGGAGCAAGTAACACTGTTGGGGTAATACGAGATTCCATCTTAATTTTAGGAAGGCGGAATGTTTGTAGGAACAATTGTTGAAGCGTTCAAGTGGAGGCTGAGAGAGATCCATTCTGTGGACGTAGCAAGCGTTTGGACAGGACCAAGGCTACATCCGGCTTCATTGTTTCGGAATGCAAAACGTGGCTATCAATAGCAAGGGCACGTTAGACACTAGCGGGCGCATATAGTCAAAGCAGCACATATATATCAATGATTACGCATCAAGACACAGGTTGTATGCGTCTCGATATTTATCAAACCTCGGGCTCATGCGCCATAGTATCGGTGGCCAGCCCAGAAATCCGTCACCCTGCAACGTTTGGTTGAGAGTCAGGATGGAAAGTCAACCTTGAGCTTGAGGAATCAGCCGCGATCCGTCGAGTACAACATTGATACGAATGAAATAAAGCACTAACAGATCTATGAGATTGAACTTCCAAAGTAGAAAGGCAAGGAACTACCTCGGGCACAACTTTTGTGGTCTCCCATAGGCAAATCTTTTGGCAGGCTTCGTCCCTGTACAGGAGACAAAACGGTGAGGTAATATTATATTGGAAATGTGATGACGATTAAAGCTGAAGACCAATGGATGTCAGAATTCTCATGGCTATCGTTATCGTAGATATAAACACACCATTGCACCCTTGACAAAAGATTTTGTATCATAGGTATTCAGGCAGCTGTTGTCGTCCATATGGGGTGCGATCCTTAACGAGACAAGCATAGGGCCAATAGAGTTGCTTTTAGATGTAAAAATTGCTGCGACGACACTATACTGCAGTTGATTAGTCCGTAAGCACAAACCAAAAGTAGGGTACAGCTACTCGTATACTTACTGCCGTCCTTACAAGCCGAATTTTGTACCAGTTTGAAAGGAATGACGAAGCGAGGGCAACATCGTCGTGCGGTTTGAACTTTGATCGGGACACGGTGCCGAACCATTCGGTCTAAATCGGTCCGCGTATTAGAGTTTTGGTCCGAAAGATTCCAAAGTGGGATGCAGCGGCAGATCCGGGCCGCAGGGAAAGTGCGATTTTAAATTTATCAACCGTCATTTGGTTGTCGTTGGTCTAAGTACACACAGTAACTCAGCTACGCAGCTGAATTATAGCACATCTAACAGGAAGATAATTTTGATCAGGACCCCTGCAAGCTTAGAGCTCTGTGACAAGAGTCTTCTTATGTTATTATACATAATACTGGCAGTATCGTACTTGACCCTCCTTCTTTTGTGAAGCTTGCATGTCGACGGACTAAATTTGTGCTGTCTCCCTCTTCCAAATACACCGCATCATTGTCAGTGACTCCGTGTTTATCCCATAAAGCAGTATTTTCGAGTCTGAGTCTTGCCGTTCGATGTTAATGTAAGCCATGGCAGACGTTTTGCTGTTAAGATAGGTTGCGTATTCTGGTGGATAGGCATTGGTCTTCTTACAATGGATTTTATCGGAAAAGTACAGAAATACGTGCGAAATGAGATCGTAGCCGCAGACTAAGGCAAAGAGCGAATATCAATGACCCTCTCCAACACGTGAATCGTACGGGTTCTTTATGATGAGCAATTTATCCAGCACGTCGAAATATCGGTCAATAGCATACGCATCATTTTCCTCCACGCCTTTCTCCCGACACATGCGTTCAACCACATCCGGTTCGAGATAATCCTCTATCTTGAATTTATATTGCAGCTCGATCCAATCCGAAAAGCTCTTTACCATCTGGCATATAATCCTATGCGGCGCTTGTCCTGTCTTCCAAGCCTGCCGCTGACATTGCCTCGAGCAATACGGCACGCGCACGCATCCGCTGCAGAATTGGAATTTCCTCCCCATACTCGTGAACGTCTCCAAGCATCCCGGAGAATAGCATCGATCACTGACGGTAGCCTGGCGAATGGCTCTGTATGCCCTCCAGAAGTCGTTCTCCTTCTTATGCTCTTCGCGTAGGGCGCGAGAGCCTTCGAGGATGAGAGGATGGTACTTGGCTGGATCGTGGGGAACACTGAGAGCATCGTGGATGATACAGACCCTTTTGAGGAGTTCTTCATGAAACGGAGCACCGGTTGTAATGCTCACGACCCGGCTGAGCGCTTGAAGAAGCGCCTCCTTGTGGTTCTGCCAATAGGTATTGACGCGTCTCCCTTCACCCTTGGCTATCATCTCCGTGGTCGTTATTAGCGCAATAGTCTCCGCCTGCTGCAAGACTGTGAAATCGCGGTCAGCAAGAGAACCTATTTTTTCCAGAGAATCTACGTCCTTGTTTATGATCTCGATGAGCTGAGGAGCGAAAGAGGGCATGATAAAGATCATGACGCTGAGAGTCGTCCCGGCCATGACGATAACGCTGCTAAAGAGTAAAAAGGATGGCTGAAGCTGGTACATATATGCCCACTGCCAAAGCATCTTGACAGCCGTCTCCGCACCGAACGTCGAATAGAACTCATTGGGGGTAACCTGGCCACATCGGTGCTTTCCCGCGCTTCTCCTCCCTTAGGGCACGTTTATGGATACCGTGGTGTAGCATGTCCTTTGTGGATTCGTTAGGGCTGAGAATGCATGATACAAGCATGGTGGACATGATGCGAATGATTTCAGCAAAGAGAGTGTGGTTGACCAGGGCGGTGTTTAATGGATGGGCAGTATTTGTGTAGTCCGTTTGAAAGTGGGTTATCTTTTGGACAAGAACATGTTTCCATGGCGCTCTGGAGAGCGTGTACCTCATCCTGCGACCGTGGAGCCGTCAGAAATGTTAAAGACGTTTTAAGTAGATCGTGGCGAGACGCTCGTAGCTCCGCCAAGGCGTTAAAATTCCAGAAATGGAGGAGAGGAGGAAGCATAGAATAGGACACAATGGGATGGACGAATAGGATCCGATAGAGACTCTACAAACAAATCGATGGCAGCGTCTAGAGCGAATGAGGTCCCATTTGGAAATCTGATTAGACGGGGCGGCCCCATTGCGGTGCTTGATTTATCGCTCCCTAAACTGATATCTTACGTCAGAATGCAGTCTGAAGAAGAAATTGCACACCAACTTCTGGAAATATAAAAACTTGAAAGATGGGTCGATGAGGGACCGGAGAGAAATCCGTCGTTTGACAGCGAAAGATCAGCGCCGAGTCATGTGAGCATGAGATAGTACTTCTCGATGCGATGATTCCTCGAATTTGTCCCAAATTCATATATGATTTCAATAAATAGAAGTCGGTACGTGATCAATATTGAGCTATCCTATATAGAATAAATACATGGCAGCAACCCTTCAAGCTTCAAGAACACGGCTAACGAGAGAAGCAAATATAAAAAGCGGACCGTTATGCCGAACATTCGCCCAGCCCAAAGGATATCCCATCAAAGTACGGCCCTATTTCCAGATCAGTACCCTATTTCACTCAAAATGGGACGAACTCACCTAGATGATCTCCCACCCCATCTGTAATAGCTAACAGCCCCTCCCCATCTGCACAAGCTTCCGACTTATTCTCCTGTCTCTCGCACAGCACAGCTCCAGCATCCCCGAGATGCACCTCTCCCTGTGGATGTACGAAATCCAACACGATCGGCGGCAAATGCGGAACGGGGTCAGCCTTGTTGGTCATTCTCGCAAAAACCCCACTTGAGAGAGAAGTGTCGGCAAAATCTGCGAAAGCTTGGTTACCCACGCGCGGGGACCCGAATGTGGTGGTTTGGATGGATACGTTGGCTAGGGCATCGTTAAACATGAGCGCGTCAAGCATGGCCAATGCACTGCCAAGAGAATGGCCTGTGAGAACTACACTATCTGCTCCGGTGCTGGACAGTGCGGATTTTACGGTGGAAAGGATGGTTGATGCAGTTCTCGAGAATGTTTCCAGGAAGCCCGAATGGACTTCTATACCTTCTGGACGAAAATGTCAGCATTAAACAATAGAGAGAGAAAGGGTACATACTCCCAGCCGCCGAAGGGAAAGATTCAGTGTCGATCGGGGTGAGAACTAAATCAGCATCATTGAGGATAGAGAGTCTGAAGATACGTCAGTTTACTACTTGGTAGAGAAAACATGTAGGGAGTACATATTTTCCGGGTCTGTGCCTTGATGTGCTACGACAATCGAGTTGGTCGACTTGTCATGCGCGATGACAACTACATAGCGTCAGAGAGAATTAATAAAGAGAACATGGGACATACACTTTGGTATTGTACCGCCGTCACCACCAGTTGCCAAGATATCGACCGATTCCGCTTCAAGAGCATCGCAAGGTGCGCCGCAGCTGAAACTCTCTACGGAAGCACTGGAGCAATAAGCTATACGACTGAAGAAGGCCGGACGAGAAAAGGCAGCTGTTAAATCTGTTGAGCTGACGCTGACAGTGCTTGTCGTCGTGTTGGAAGAGGCGGAGTCATCGTCTCCGAGGATACCTTTGAGTAAGTCGCTCGCGTCTTCCGAGACCGCATCCTCGGCCTTGTCGAGAAGCCCGTCAAAGAACCCACTTGAGTCCTCGTCATTAGTGCTAGAATTATCGTCTTCGCCACCGAAGATATTATTGAGGTGACCACCGAAATCAAATGGTACCGGTGCTGTCCTAACTGCTGCGAAGAGCTGAAAAAGAAAGACAAAAAGGAGAGTAGATGTCAACATCGAGACACGGAGAAAAGACCAAATCCACTAGGGATGAAAGAAAGAAAAGACTTGCTCTTCATGAAGCGAATCGCCTGGCCTTTTTGATAGTGATCGTACATCCATCCTTATGATTAATAATTGACATTGAAACCAGATACAGAGCCACCGACGCAGCTGATGGACAAAAGCACCATTACATTTTGACGCAAAGGAAACATCGCTGATGGGTGCCTACCTTCGACATCAAGTACCTCATTTTATGGCTGGATTGGTCCAAAAAGCCCCACATTGATAACCATTGCAGTGTACTAAGCAGATCCGTAGGTTTTTCCGTGCAGGACAGATCATTTCGAGGTCAAGGTGACGTTTCAACCGAGGAAGAGCGTGGAACATCTTTAATAAGATGACGGTCGCTAGGAAGGGAGTGTTGATCAGGAAAGGAAACGATATGATGCATCGAGTTCCGCCGTATCCGGGCTTGGACCACGAGCGTCACTTCATGATGGCGTCTCATCACATAAACAACCCAAGGGTCGGGAAATGCGACAGACAACAAAGTTAGACCACATGGTATCCGAGTCGTAAAGCTGGTACGATAGACGGAAGCTAGCCATCAAATGATATATGAGGACATCCTCTACCCCGAGTCTCTGTGAAAGCTCAGACGAGTCCACGGGGGAAGACGACCTGCATCATTGTCAAAAGTCATGTAGAAATACCAAGGAATTCCCACGTCAGAAGGCTTGACGGAGACTCCTACTGATGATCCATAGAACGGAAAATCGATGAATATCGTAGCTGAGGATAGGACGGGTTTGGCGTTCCATCTGACAGACTAAGGGCTCGGGAGCGGATCACCTAATAGGGCTGTACTTGCCCATCTTGGAGAGCTATATGCAGTCGGGATATAGTAGTCAGCAAAATCACACCAGCTTTGATTGTCGGCAGGGATCCAGAATCCGATGGGCACGAATCAAATCTTTCAGCCCAAGGGGCTGGTAATGTCTTCAGGTGCGAAAGATAGCGATGGTTAAGTCGGATATGACAGGACAGGCATCTCTGAATTATCAAACGTAGAGGCGCCTGTGTTCATGTATAGGCCGTGTGTACATGATATGCAGATGTCCATGGCATTGGTCGTGATGGGGGGCACTGTCGTATCATCGCATGAATGTCGACCCCGTTACATCAGCCCTGACCCCGTTCATCAATTAAATGCCATGACATAGATGGGTTTCTCACCTTTCGGCTGAGAAGGAAAAGTGATAATAAAAACCACTCAAAGCAGAAGAAAAGGGACGAGATGATTACTAGAGAAATATGTTAAGACATTGAAGCAAAGCAAGGAGTTTTACGTACAATCAGAAGTCGTCGCGGGTGATAGGAAATCAAAGCGATCACATAGATATTCCGGAAGACAATGTAAAACGGAACTCTCAGTGCATCAGGTGAAACTGAGTAATCTGTCTGATATCCATCCAGTTCAAAGCGCCAGCAGTTAGTTCCCTGCTTAAGCGAAAAATGTCAGTACTTTCGCGGTTGTATTGCACCCTTAACCCTACCCCTGCGCACAGGCTAACGATTCTCCATGATAAGAAAAAATTTCTCTTGGAATGGAAGAAAAGGATCTGAGGCGGACGGAAAAACTTGAACTGAAAGGCGCGAATGAAAATGTAATCGAATCTGATGCCGCATCTGAGAACGGAAATTTCATTGCTCGTCTTGTCAGATGACCTGTAGGAAGATATGCATCGAGTAAAACCTAAGGTAGCACGGTGGTACACAACATTGGTGGACGAGGTCAAGGGCAGAGGCAGGGATTGGCTGGTGTTGAATCTGTCTACTAACGGTCCTGTTCGGGATTATTCGATCCGGAAGGCTGGGCCAAACTGGCATAGATCGGTCGTGGCCCGCCGATCACAGACTCTCTGATTTGGTTCTCGTAACTGACTGAATATTTCCGCCCCGTTCTCTCCCTGTATTCTTCGACCTACATGCGTTGTGTAGGACATCTTCATGGGCTTGGAAGTCGCTTTAATCAAGTAGCCATGAGCTAATTCCTATAAGGCGTGTCTCATTATTCCCGCTACCTTGGTAGTGGGTTATGGGTATGTCCCTATTGTGCTTCCGTTTGGCGGTAAAAAGGTGCCAGCCAGCTCCTGTGCCCCCTATTTTTTTTGTGGCGTGGAGATTGTTTTCTTATTTGGTATACGCTTTTCCTGTGGCATCACCAAAACCTCAGCCATGTGTTCTGGTCCAGGTCGGCCTTATCTGGGCAGCGGTACCAGCCAACAATGATCTGAAGTGCCCTGTCTGATACGATCAGATCAGGGCTGGTCTGATCAGAATACTCCAGACCTCGATAGGATCTGTGTGGTCTACTCGAGGGGAGATAGACCTACATAGAAGAGGCCTGAACCAGAAGAGATCCGAAGTAGTCAGTCAATGGCTCTCAAATTGTGTCGCATCAGCCTTATCAATTATAATTATGTTAATTTAATTTCAGTCTAGTAAGAATTACAGAGCGGAATATCCGAAAAGCCCATCATCATCAAACTCGTCGTCTTCTTCAGGCTCATTTAGCTCGACATAGTCATCTGAATGCCATGAGCTGTCACTGTCTTCATCCTCAATGCTACCATCGATTTCAGCATCAGAAGTATCCGAGTCTGCTAAGTCTGCTGGCGCATGACCCAATTCCGAAGTATTGGCGCCAGGTTCAGCGTCATCCTCTTCTTCTTCAGCATCCGATTCAGCGACTTCAGAAGTATTCTCCGATGTAGTGATCCCCAAAGCATCGAGAAGCTCTTCCCACAATCCCCGTGTATACTCTCGTGTATTGCTGTGGCCGACGCCATTGCCGCAATACCGCATGAACATGTCACGATCAGCAAATCTGCTCTCCGATTTCCAGTCAGATCATAGATACAGAATGATAGAATTCGAGGATGGACTTACATATCCACATAATAGCGTGCCCAATCCATGTCATTCTCATTGAATCTCCTACAAATTGAGGGTGGAAGGATGTCCGACGTTTGACCATAGACATAGGCAGGCATAATATGTGATGCATGAAGAACATCATTAGGATCTACAAACCCAAACGCCTGAGGATCATCACCTGGGAGAAAACCAATGCATGGCAAGCGCTTTGCCCTAAACCCAGAAGGGATGCTCCTATCAAATGCATACCATCAGACCCATAGAAACTGAAGGTTCTTTGCGGTGTGATCAACAGACTGCAGGCCAACATGACGGACCGTCGCATGAAAGATACCGATAACTCTGGCATATAGATAAGGATGAGAATTGTTATCGCTATCCAAATCAGTCTGCGTAGAAGGAGAAAGGGCCATAATATCGGAATGAGTACAAGGGTTGATAGAATCTTGATTTCGACGAGCATTGTAGGTAGTATAATTGATACGAAGAATTTGATGTGAGTAGAGGCGGTTGTCGACAATGATGAGGTTCTGGCGATGAAGATCCGTGAATTCATCATTACTATTGAGAATTCGAGAGAGTAAATGGTCCTTGAGCTTTCGAATAAAACCCTAGAAGTGATGTCAGATCATTATTACAGGGAGTTTAGATGATCCAGGATTAGATAGCTCACATTACATGCAATGTCGCTGCCATTCTCATGAAGCCATGGAGCCAGATATATTTTTGAACTTGTAGATGGTGATATATGATGGTGGTGACTTGGATCTGTGTACGGGAGCACCTCAGAACCATCCCTTGCAGGCATAGGGCGACTTCGGTGTTTTTGGTCCTTGAGATCGATTTTTCGTTGCATTTCTCAGAGGCGTTCTTGGCGTTGAACATGATGTGATATCTGCTTTGCAAAGGTCTTGTTCTTGTTGGTCCGCCCATAGAAACGCTTGACTTGCCGATGCTCAAGCTCTCCCTGAAATAAAATGAGCTTAGCGTGGCATAGAAAATTTGGAGGCTTACCAGCTGAGTACTATATGAATCTGTGGTTCCAAATGCACAAATCACTCCAGGATAATCACCCATGGCATGATATTTATATGTTGAAAGATTAAATCTTTTCTGTAATTTCGCTGTTGAAATTTTACCTTTTGACATGCTGTTCCCTTTCTTCTTCATGTTATTGATATCGCGCCGTGCCCTAGCTTCGCGTTCCTTTGGAATCTCATGTGTATCAATTTTATCAACCTCCCGCTTGAATTTTCTCATGAAGGACCCGAAAAGCCACGTTAGACGTTCGAACACTCGGAGTGATGACTCAGTATGCATCTGAAGTTTAGCATTCGCATGCCAGCAAGCAAACAAGAATAGCAAGTCAAGGACAAGCCTGTCCAATTTCGGAGGAAAGAGTCCTTCAAAGCATGGCATGGCGCACTACAAGTGATAGATCCAGAGTCAGCACTGAGATATGTTAGAATAATAAGCTATATACCTGAAGAATATCTTCGAAATCACAAGCGGCAAAGTTTTTAAGGTCAGATACATTATTCTTGAACCTTTGTATAGTTCCTTGTCCAAATGTAGGCATCATTCGGAACCTACAAGCAGAATTAAAGACAGTGATATGACTAGAAACATCTAAAGAGACATACCTTCTATTTAATTCCTGTATAATATCGCCTCCTGATACACCTGCCTGGCGTCTACCCTTGGAAAACGCGTATAAATCTAATTTTATTATCCTACAAACTACGTTTGTAGCGGTGCGAGTAAGAAAGAACCTGCAAGGTACACAGCAAGAAGTGTTAAACCCCACTGCGTCAGTAAAGACTTAGCCGTGACAAGCCTAAGGGCTCGGGCAACAGACCAGTGATCCGATGACTCAGCCCGAGTGACCAAAGGTCCAGGCAGGTCGAAAGCACATGGCTGCAGCTGAACCGGCATCCCAGCACTGATGGCCGCCTGATGGCATCGGTCCGAAAGTAAGAATAACAAAACAAAGAACGATCACGTATGGCTTTACTTACCTGGCAGCTTTCCTAGTCTCTCAGGCAGACGGTTGGCTCGCTGGGTAGATGAGAAACAAGAACCGTAACACCAGGGGCTCTGCCCCGGTACAGGTAAAACTTAGTATCATGAGCCAGGACACCAGGTTGCAGCACAAGATCATGATCGGGCTCACCTGGGAGCCGGGATATGAGCTCATATCTGTCAGGAAGTGAGCTCATATCCACCCGGCTCAGTCAGCGAGCGCAGTAATAGTACCTGGAAAGATTGGAAATATAGATAGGGTAGAATAGTATAAATACTGTCCATGTAAACTAGCGGGAGGTCAGGTTTCTGGCCCCCGGAACGCTACCAAGCAAATTAGTATGGGTTTTGGTTAAGAGCTTCGAGTCCTAGACTCACCTGGAATAGTATTTAGTGACCTGGTCACGTTTTGTGTGCAAGAACCATTCAGAAAGCAGTCAGTTCAGAAAGATACAGACAGACAGTCAGAAGTACAGTCCAGAATCCATGTTAGTACCAGTAAAACTGCAACCAGGCAGACAGTATCAGTTCAGACACTGCACCAGGCAGCCCGTTGGTATCAGATTGTGTTCGGTAACACAGAAAGTTCAGATTTGTGTTGTTTCAGAATATTGCAATCAAACAAATTATATTCATTATCAACCCGGAACTAGTATCCATAGTACAAGCATCGACCTGGTGTAACTTACCCCTTTGAACCGCAATTATTGAGTGTGTTAGGGTGTGTGTGTGTGTGTAGCACTTCGCCTTCCTTAGCATAGTTAGTACCTTTCACTCTGTAAAACTGACAAAGCCGTAGAAGATGAATAAAGAGCGCCTTCCATGTTCCGAGTTCAATCTCATGCAGAGGATCAATGACAAACATCTGGTAGAAGTTGAAGAGTGAAATAAACACTGAGGAGAATGCATTCTAATAGAACATTAGCATGGCATTATCCTGATGAGACCACTATTGACTTACTCATGTTGGTGATAGAGACTGGCGGTTCAGTACATCACTCACTGCCTTGCCATCAACAACATTGCCATCCTCATAAATCCAGCTGTGAACTTTCTCAATCCAGCTTTGCTGTTGTGTTGTATCCACTCTAGCTTTTTTTACATGGCGCTTCATGTCATTGATGGTACCCATTTCCGATGCTGTTTCCTTGGTTACTAAGCAGCGTGGGCATAGAAATTCAGCCATTGACTTAATACTTGCGAGTAGGACTCTGTAAAATAGATGAATTAGAATGTAATAATAGAAACTAATATTAACGTACTTTTCAGGGTAGTCAGCTGAGTATAGAAAAAAGCAAGGGTATACACGGTGGTAAATATTATCAGCGCAGAAGATTACAACCCCATTTATATATGCATCCATGAATTCTGGTGAAATAAGCTTTGCCCAGATAGCATGAACAAGCTCCTGTTTCAGAAAAGTTAGGATTGCAGGGGATGCACGCCATCCAAAGTATTTCAGATAGGCATCTTGAATTTTATCCAGAATCTGATTGATATAATTCAATATAATCAGTATTTTAAATGCAGAAGACGAGGTAAAAACAAACGGTAGGCATGTACACAATATGATGTGATGCTCTTGACGTTGGTCGAGCCCGCACATACTTGGAGAGTAGGCTGAACAACAGGTAGATGGGCCAGAGTGCGGCTGTCCCGAAATTAGTAAGATGCGTTGAATCCGAGTACAGCATGCATGGCACAATAACAGTTTCCAATCTGTTTGGGTCAGGTGTCAGGTGAACTTCGTCTTCCATTTCAAGAAAGATATCTGAACTATATACCTCCCCATATACTCGTTCCGGCTGGTCATTGTTTCCAGGATCCCACATTTCCTTGAAACCTTTCAGATGAAAGTCAAGGAAAGCAGTGCTCTGGAAGGCAGATACAATCACGTCCAAAAGGTTCTGGTGGTAAACGCCTGTGACTTCGAACTCGGAAGCAGACTCCTCAGAGATGTGTTCAACACCAGTTTGAGGCAGCTTGATGGTTACCAAAGTCTCATGCCAGCCATCAGATAAAGAAAATGGAAGACAATTTTGTTGTTTGCCAATAGTATCGAGCACCTTGATCTCCTTCACAGCATCAAAGTTATCGGTAAGATGCTCAGGATCAAAATCTGGTGCCCGTAGAACAGTTTGGACAAGGGAGGTGACATCTGACAAAGATTTAGATGTTGACTGATAGAACCACGAAAAAAGGTGGAAGATAGTCGCATTTGGGAAGGGATAAAATGGATCAGTACTGCTCTCAGGTGCATTTGTGAGGCAGTCGGCATGAGAAGTGAATGTTGAAGCATCAGAGACTTCATCGAGACCACCTCCCATGGTAGGGTCAACAGTCGGCCACTCCTTATAACACTGATAAAGACCCATCTCATTTGGAGCTGTCTCGAGATATATGGGTTCGGGTGGTGGTGAGGCTGATGGAGAAGGCGACCTGGATGGTGACAGCTGAGGCATGGCAGGTGGGAGAGGTGGTTTTTGCTCCAGTGATGCAAATAGGTGAAATCCAGTAGGTTTAGATGGTAATAGATCGTGCAGGCGCTTTGGAAGGATGATATTTCGCTTCGGGCGGCCTTCTGAAATGACAGGGATGGGAGGAGGGCTGGCAACTTGCTCATCTTCATCTGGAATGGCGGCATAACTAGACAGTCCTGCAGTTGGAGTATGCGGCAAGGTCCTTGCTGTTTCATTCATGGTTGCATCAATTTCATGTATCTAGAACAAAATTTAGACCGGGAGATGTACAACAAACATCATAGGCATTACATACAGGTGCATTGTCTCTGCTAAGGTTGATATGATGCCTCTTGGGCAAAAGATGCTCACGAATTGCCTGCAGTCTTGTCCCAGCAGAAATTGGCACCATCTCCGAGTTTGGATTCTCCTCCACATCGGATGGGGATGTGACATGCTTTCGAGACTGAATATGGACATTCTTTCACCTTGGGCACCTTTGCTCGTGGTTTTTGCAGGCCACAGCATTGTGAAAGGAGGCGTTGCAGAAAGAGCATCTTCCCATAATAGCCTAAAACAGATTTAGTTAAATTTCCACAAATAAAAAGTTGTGTTACCCAGTGAAAATGAGAAATAGAGGGAGAGATGCAGGAAGAGAGAGAAACACGAGAGGTAACTGGACTCCACAGCTGAGAGCGAGTCGGCGCTGTGATGGCGGTGGTGGTGGAGATCACGTGTTACAAGAATCGTGTCATGACACATTACATACTGTCATGCTTGTCCTTCTTGCCTTTTACTTCATCCTCCTTCAAAGTCAACCATGAAGCCTGCTCCTCTCCTGGCACCTCTGAAGGCAAAAAAGGCCAAGACAACAACTCACCCACCTCCTGCAACATCTTCCAACAAAAAAAAATCGAAAAAGCCTATCAAGCAGCCGAGGATAGCAACACCACCACCATGGCAGCCTGTGCACAAGACCAACCGTTCTCACAAGGTTGTGTCCTCTGACAATGAGGACCCTGTTGACACCCGCCACCAACAACAAGTATCCGAGGATGAGGATGAGAATGACAGCGAGGATGAACAGGATGTGGAGATTCAAGATGCGGATTCGCTGAGGCTAGGCAAGAGGAAGAGGTCACCAACAATTCATGGTCTGTCTCCTCCTAAATCAGTGAAGTAGTCATCCTTCCTCTCTACATTGTTCTGGCTTTGACGAAAAATACAGGAATTTTTCCGCCCTCAAGAAGTACTACTGGCTCACATCAAGAAACATTCCTCGATTTATCCATCCCTGGGCCAATGTACAGGGAATCGTACTCCACAGATTTATGGTTAAGGGGATTCTTGAATCGCTTGCTGAAGATGAGGAGGAAAAGGCTGAGGACGATAGCGACAGTGAGACAAAGGAACCTGAGATGCCAGAGTGAGTACCAAGTGCATATATTGATATAAATTACTGACAACCGTGTAGAAATTTCCGATTTATGCACTCCTATATGCACATCATGACATTCCTCTTCCCGTGTTTCGAGGTGCACATCAGTCAACTAGAGGACCTGGGGTCAGACGATCTATTGAGGGCAGTCTTTGAGATTTTTGCAGCGGTATTTGTCTTTTCCTCTAAAGTACACTAGCTGACTGTTGATAGATAAACGCAGGAGCCCGTAGTGGTCGCTCAGATGATACGACAAAAATCAGTGATAACATCATGCGTCTTTCAACCAAGGACCTTACCGATGAGACACTGCTCCCAACTCTCAAGAAATACCAACGTGGATTCAACCACATCCACATGGCTCGCCTTCTATGCCCTCAGCGTTGGTTAGATCAGTTTGATGAAGATCCTCAGTATCGATTTCGTTCCTTCTCATTGCTTAATGACCCTGACTCTACCCTTGATAATAGTGCAATGATGGTTAAGCTGCAGACCAAGGTAACAACACGATACCTTCCATCGTATCTGTATGATTCAGGGCTTGTCGATCCTTCTGATCCTCGTAAGGGTCTCTTTCGAGGCCATACTTGCATTCGGGTTTGAGCTCCTCACTTAATTTGTAACTGGTACTAAAGCCTTTCTAGTCATTCCGTGCAATTTTTCTAGGGAATGCAGAACACGACGCATCTGACTTACACAGCACTGTCAAAGGAAAGCTGAACCTCAAGACCGCGTCGGAGGAAATGATTGTATATGCTGCTGTACAGGTACATTTTTGATCTGTTATCAATATGATCCTCATTCGCTATGCTAGGCATGATTCGCATTATCGTCTTGCACTACATGGGGGGATCAGAGTGACGGCTTCAACCTCGAACAGTATAACCACAAGTTATCAAGAGTTTTCCTGGATTCGATCAATGAAAATGGCGATACATGGGCACAAGAAACTGTTGAATTCTACACTATGTACGTCTCCACTCCTTCATCAATTCTGGTTTACAACATTGTCTCTTTATAGCGAGATCTTGAAACCCAAGACTGATGAGGACCAAGAAGAAGTTGATGATGATGATGATGAATCGATAATGAAGAGGAACCACGAAGCACGCATCAAAGAACGAGTGGCTGTGGCTGCAGCTGCTGATGAAGAACTTGGCGATAACGAATCCAATGTGATGCCTTGATGGTTCAGAGGTGAGTTGTGCTCGTATAGTCTAGTGACATTGTGCTAATCTCCGACTCTACTTAGCTTCAACTATGGTACTTGGCCCTGTTTCTGTCCGACTTTGCTTCTCTCACTGGTGCATGGACTGCTGTATGACTCGTTTGCTCCCTTTAACGCTCTTGCTCTGCTTGCTGCTTACCTGTATGCTTATCTGATGCTTTCATCTTTCTCTGCTCATAACTCAGTGTACTGTCTAAAATTTCGCTGTGTTAATAAATTACTTTCTAATACATTGGCGACGTCAACTGCAAGAGAACCTGAGGGTGTGCGGCAATATGTCTACCCATCTGTGAGCTGTCAGTTCCTATCAGATCTGGCCTTTCTTACTCGAGCGAGTAAGCCTCGCAATACCGATCGAGACCGTAGCAGAATGCATAGAACACCACAGAAGTGCCCTGATTGCACTCTGATTGTACCCAGAACAGACGATATGGGGGTCAAAGGTCTGGGACACCTGTGGTTGGTGGCCAAGATCCATAAAGATTGCCCAGATCAGGTCAGGGCGACTTGATCACAGGCAATGGTATCGGTCTGACCAAGATCACATGGCTCAGGTTTTGGTGATGGGTGCAATGCCTGTACTCCTGTTTATGGCGAACCCCACCTGCATCATCGAACAGGAGTGATACCCCTATTTGATATGTCTTCAGTCACCCATCTCTTGGCATTCTCCCATTGTGCATGTTCCTGGTCGTATGCCAATTTCTGTCACCGTCAATACGGAACTCTTCGTTCATCAGTGTTCACTTTCATTCGTAATTGAGGAGGATCTGTCAACAGATATTGTTCTTGGTTTTGATTGGTTTTCTCAGCTGGCGTCGTATGCCACCGACCATTCTTGTATGTTTGTTTCAATCGTTTTCTTTTATTACCTCAAGCTGTCTTTCCTAGATGCCTCTGGGCATCGAACACGTTTACATAGGTTAATGGATATATACCATAGCCTTTGTAACCCTGTGTCAGCTCAGTTCATTCCGCTTGCATCCAATGATGTCATGGTCCACAATCTGTTTGGCCATGGGTTGGTCATTAACACCACATGTGCAGGTCATGAACTGTATCATGAGCAGATCATGGAGCATATACTGGCAGGACTCTGCGCAGGAGGAAGAGGCACGCTTTGCCGTGACTATGTGCAGGTCTGCAAGAGCTCACGGGTTTTTCCTCATGTGTTCTGTGTTGCGTCCGTTGTCTCTTCAGGTGTCATAGAGCAGGTTAGCCCTTCTGCATTGTCCTGTTATTCATGTGTATTTGCTCCTCACGTCAATCGCAACAAGAGATGATCGACTGTTGTGGGAGCTCAGCACTGACTTGACCGCCTGCATTATGTGTCCTTCACTGACGAGCCATCTTACTTGCTCAGGATAGTGAATGCCGAGTTTGAGAGGATGCCCTTGGCTGAGCTGGTGGACATTGCGAAAGCTCATTGCCTCGAGATGTCTGATGGAGACGGGCCTGAGGAGTACAGGAGTTCTGTTGTGGAGCATTTGTTTTTTGGACACTGTTTATCTTGGGTTGATACACTCGTTTCTGATGTACCCCTCAGTTGTCTTGATTTTCTGGCCGAGTTTTACTACCCTCATCGCGATTCATAGGTTACGCTGTATAATTTATGCAGAGTTATGTATGATTACAGTTTGCAGCAATCTTGGGACTAGGTCGATGACCTCCATGTTTTTCCCCCTCCCCCTGTCTGTCTACTGGATTGGCTCGCTTATCTATTCTTTGCGTGCGCTCTCTTTCTTGTCTTTCCATCATGACTGATACCTTTGGTTTGGGCTTTCAATGAGATGCTCTTCTTCATACCGATGCTTATGTCAGATGTAACTGACTGAAAGATGTCCTGGTATGGCAACGTATTGACAATGTTGACTATCCATCTTTGCAGGACCCTCAGGATAGTGGTGGACGTAGGCTGAATTTGCCCACTCCAGGTGTATTCACTTTTGTTGTGGTTGCGAGTAGCGCTGCTCGGCTCAACAAGTTGTCAGGTGTTGGTGATTATCACGTGGCTAATCCCAAGCTGTTGGCCAAACTGAAATGGGTACTGCATTTCACTTGTCCTCGAGGTACGCCTTTTCAAGAGGACTGGGACGTTGGGATTTCGGTGCTTCAGCATGTGCAGCATCTTAAGACTTCTGGTGTTCCCAATGATATGATTATTATTTGTGAATCAGGGGCTGCGGAGCTGAGAACGACATCACGGATGTTCAAGCCAAAGGTGAGTCCTAATTTAGTTTTTGATTTTTATCATGTCTGATTATTTTCAGTCGACTTCTGACATGGATGCTGCTACTAGGAATTACATCATGCCTGCAGAGCATTGACAGGAGTACATCATGACGACCAGATGATATGCTCTTGACCCTATTGATATCAGGTCATATACTGGGCGGTCGGTCGTCATGGGTTCCCTTGCGGAGGATACAGTGGGTGGTTCTTTGTGTCTAGTATCATTCAAGGTATGTGATTTTACTGTTCGCATCAATTAGCTGTTCAATTTAAAAGGTGATACATTACTTTGTCGCTTCTGTTCAGAGGGAGTCGTTTAGCACTTTGCTGGAATCTATCCGTGTGTTAGTTCCACGTCAGCAGATGAAGAAGACCATTCGCAAATTGTCTGTTATGCCACCTTGTCCTTCATCAAGTTTTAACGTGTTCACGCCCTTCTTTGGCATTCAAGACAGTGTGTTTCTCCTCGATCGTTGCGATGGCATTATTGACTGATTCAATAAGAGGGGATGTCCATCGTTGCGAGCAGCATCGGATGTACGGATGACGAGCGTAGTCACAGATCTGGTATGTTTTTGAACTGTTTGGGGGGGTCTGTTGTGAACTCTTATCGGTGTTATTGGCAGGCTGCACTACCATCGATGCAGAATCGGAAACAGATTGTATTGCTGATATTATCGGTCTTGAGTGAAGGTTGACAGAAGGATGCTTTACATGTGTGGTATTGAACTATTGGTCGCTGTAGCATGAATATAATGTTAGAACAACAAACATAGATAGTATATCAGCATAGGAAATCAGCGATATTATGAATATACTCCTGAGCAGTAGTTTCCATTGGTCATAATCGGCTTTGGATCGGCTGAGGTTTAATAATTTGATGCTCCGATGTCCTGAGATAGTGATCCTTCCGTAGGGTCTTGCATGTTTGTTCAGCACATCAGATATGGAATTTGTTTCTCTGACCGGTCTTTCCATCACTTGAGTCTCTTATTGCAAAGAATCTCATTCAGTGATTGCTTCTCGGCTCTTGGCTTCTATCAAACCACAGGAAATGGCAGTGTACCAGTCAAGCATCCTGGTTAATGGTGCGCATGGATTTGCTACTCTAGTGGTTGATTTGGATATAGTGGAAACAGCTGAATGGGATCTGTTGGTTGGTGACGATATTGTCAGGGCATATGAGGATATATTTAATACCCATTCTGGAGGAGGTGAGTGCATTGCTTGATTCCGATGTTCCTGGCTCAAACGATTTGTGTGTTGAAGGGTCTGTGTGAACTCCCACAACAGAAGACAGGTCGCACCCAGATCTTGAGATGGAACAGAGCACTCCTTGCTCCATCCTTGTCGAGTCAGGTTGTGATGAGCAGGAACATCGCAACAAGGCTGGCACATGTGTAGGATCAGCTCAGGGCGATCCTATCATGTCCTTGATGGATCGTGTCATTGGGGAACCTTCTGTATCCCCAGCAGATGATCCTGTCGACAGACATAATACTGCTTCATGTATGGCCGATGGCACAGGCTTATGCAATAACGTCGATACCACCACTCAGGAGGATTCAGAGCATGTCGTCTCAGGCACATCGGGTGACTCGTCTATGCCAGCGGTCAATGAACTCAGTGTTCTGTTACTTGGTCACATGGGTCAGGGGTCAGCTGTATCTTTGTTTGATTGTGATCCAGCTCGATTATATGATATAGCCCGAGAGCATGGACTGTCTGTTCGTGCTAAAGATGGTTTGGATGCTATCCGTTTGATGATTCTACGACACCTTTTGCTGGGCGATTGCTTCCGTTGACACGCGTGCAACGCATTCACACATGTAATTTTGCGAATTCTAGGAATGCAAACATGTGTGTGCCCCGTGAATAATATTAGAGTGCATGTAAGGCATAGAGTGCTACACACTGAGGCAGAAAGCACTATAATAAAAATAATATGAGTAGAGTGCATGGCTTAGACTTAGAACGGCACACTTGTGTCATTTAAGTGTGCAGTCTCAGTGCTTATACACACACACTGTGCCCTCCTCTGCAGTGTATCACTCAATTAAATTCACTGAAGATAATATATTGAAGGTGCTTTGTGCTACATTGATCTATGACGCGCGAACCCTGCTGATCTGGCAATCACCGAGAAACGTCATCCTGAACGAAGAATCAACAAGTCCGGATACTCTAAGGAGTTCTCGGCCAGAGAGAAATAAAACCCGCTGCCCATATGAAATATTAAACTAGAAATGGTTGCGCGGCAACCAATAAAATAAAACTCGCTCACTAGATAAGTTGCATGGCACTGTAATTAAATCCACAGAGCCAATAAGAAGACACATGCCACATGGCACGACGAGGCTAGGTCTTGCCAAGTGGAGAAAACAGCGGTAGCATGCGCACCGACACGGAGTGCTGAGTAAAATAATGATTACTATCACTATGGCTGACGCGGCACACAAGAGAAGGGAGTCCGAGGTGGAGCATTGTCTATTTTCAGTATTTACATTTCATATAGTTAATGGTAAATATAAGAGTGGTAGTTACAGGTAGTTAGCAAGTTTTCAGACCCCCGCAGTTGTACTATGAAGCAGCGTGCTTAGTGTACGATGAAAGGATTTTATTTGAAGCTTCGAGTGAGAGAGTATTATTGAACTTAGAATTATTTTGAACACTTTGAGAGCTCGCGAGGCACACCTTGCTCGAGCACGCTTGATTTGTTCAAGTAAAGTACAGTAATTGATTGCGCTCTACTTAGAGAATATTGTATTGTGATAACTTGAATGTGCATTTGTGTTTTTTTTGGAACTTGTTTGTGAATTCCGAGTTATTGCAAGTGGCAGAGGTTCGAACCCTTTGGCTTGTCAGTAATCTCTGAGGTTTTTTTGGTTCATTCCCAAGTGGCATAGGTTCAAACCCTGTGGCTTGTGGATGTGTTTTCTGTGTTTGTGTATCTCTGGATCGCATAGGTTAGAACCCTGTGGATCTACGAACGGGTTTTGAAGTGTTTTCTGCTTGGAGTGCAAGGCTTTAAGTCGTGTTAAGTGTATTGTGAAATGTTGTGGACACTTGTGTGTTGCGCGCGACGTATTTTGAGGGTTATACGTTCTTGTAGAACATTTGGAGGCTTGCGAAATAATACTTTTGCCTTGAGGCCGAGCGATTCTGTCGCTCACCTCCTGTTCCAAAAGCATTTGGACTTAGAAGATTATTATATTGCTAAGCGCACTATATTATATTGTAACGTGCAAGGATTATTTCAATACTACTGCTATTGTGTGCTTGTATCGTACATCACCCCCGAACTACTGAGGGTTTGTGTGTGTGTGAGTGTGAGTGTGGGTGTGTTAGTGTTATATACGCTAGTGCATTTCTAGCTTGGCATGCACAGAGCCTCTTCACCATTCCAAGCATGTGCAGCACATTCACGGCTCAAGGGTGCCCCATGTAGAAATACAGTGCCATCGCCTTTCTGCATCATGTACTTCCCCGAAGTCCCTATCTTTAGAATGCCTCCGATTTGTACAGTTGTATTCTACTAGGGTTGCTCATCTGCCAACGGAAATTTTCATGCATATTGTATGGTCGATCGGGTACACAGGTGCATCATCCTGTCAGCATGTAGTTGAGTTTTTAAACGATTTCATGAGTAGAATCAAACATTCTCTGTCACATCTGGACATAGTAAAGGATTTGCTGGGGCCCTATGTGCTTGCAGTGGCAAGAATGCATGCAATTCCTATGTCAAAGTCAGACACCACCAAGGTCTTAAAGGCTAAAGTGCAGGAGCATTTCAGAGAAGGTGTGTGCATGTTGAATGCTGTTGGTGCTCATGAAGCAATAGATGTTGGCACACATAATAGGACCAGGGTTAAATGGATGGACGAGTACTTACTGTCGATTGACATGCTGGTGGATCGGATGAGCCATCGTGCTTGTAAGTGGTTGATCAGCTCACATGGACTTTCTGGAAAGGTCGATACTCGCCACGGATGTCGGAAGATAATACATGGATATATCACCACTTTGAGAAAAGGTAAGTGGCAGGAAGAATACATCAGGGCCTGTGCTGCCAAGCGCTTAGAACAACATGCTACTGAACTTGATGAGTTTAATAACAAGGTGGAAAATATATGGAATGTGTGGCCACAGATCATGTCATCTGATGTTAAAGAGAAGATTCTTCATGAGTTCATGGAAGAAACCGGGAGTGAAGCACTTCGTTGTCGTACATGTGCGGTATGTGCAGAGAATCGACCGGTACAGGAAATTAAAGATGTGTGGGCAGATGAGCATGACTTAAGTTGTTTAAGTGTGTCGGACAATTCAAGAGCAGGGGATGTCCTAACATGGTCTGGCACTTCTGTGCCACTCCCTTTTCAACACGGTCCTCTTGCTGGTCTACAGCTAGATCGTCATGGAATTCAAATTGCGGAAAATGGAGATGTGTCTTTGTCTATCTATCTGTTCAGGTTGTCATAAGTAGGTGAAATGTAAGGAAGTACCAAAATTCAGCCTTGCCAACAAATTATTTATTGGAGAAATTCCTCCTGAGCTTAGTGATTTGACAATTATTGAAGAGAGTATGATAGCACTGTGTCGATCGAAATGCTATATCTTCCAGTTGAAGGCTGATGACCTGGACATTGAATCCGCCGATTTACAGAAGGGAGTAAAAGGACATGTGATCGTATACCCTCAATGACTGTCACACATTGCTACAAGTCTTCCACCTTCCATAGAAGAAATAACTTCACTGATGATGAGCCTCCAGGCTCTGTACGCTCAGAATTCGTGGATTTTACCAGATAGCTAATTCCCCAGCCACCACACAAACCTACTATTTCAATCCTGGCAATATTGCTTAATGCTGCCAATTATCCTTCCCCACTTGTACCCCACATCAATTACGCACCCCTTTCATTAAGTCCACCAGTCTTCTTTCATTAATTCCGCCAGGCACCTGATTGTTGATCTCATGGAATTAGAATCTCATCTGATTGCCTAGCACAGCCGCAATTCCGCAGCACAGCCACAATTCCGCAGCACAAATAGCAATTCCATGGCATCAGCTCTAATGCTGTGACCTTTCCTCAGTCTTTACTAAGGCTGTTATACCACCAAGAGATTGCCACAAGCATCTACTTCAGTACACTTGCTTCAATGTACTTTGCCGCAGCAACACAGCAGCTCAAAATTCCGGAGATCAGTGGCATTCTTGCTAATCACTTCATCTATATGCGGTAAAGCCATATGGGTGCTGTTACTTTCGAACCACAGTACACAGTAAAACCATATGGATGCTGTTACTTTAGAACCTTGGGAACATGTGTTTGGTATCATTTCTTACTAATCTATGTACTACGGACTTACTAAGGACTCGCTTCAAGTATTCTAAATTTATTCTGGACTTGTAGTATAAAAGCTAGTATACACCACGGAAAATAGGGAGTTGCTAGACAGAAGTTACTGGACACTAGCTATCATCCACATTATCGACCACCATTATCACTTGTACTTGCTAGGAGATAGACAATAACAACATAGTCACTCCAAGTTATACTCTCTGTCACGGCTTTTCTTCTAACGGTATTGGTGTATGCTCATATTGTGCCAATACATGGAATTTGGTGTCCACAACTCGCTTTTATCTTTTAATCTGCCAGTATCATTTCACTTTCACCAGCCAGGATCATTTTCATCAGTTTTCACCTTCTACGTCACCATCGTTTTACCCAGCTCAGTTCAGGATCGTTACGTCCCCATGTGGACTCAGATTAGGATCGTTATTGCCACCAGTAGCATCTGTCATGGAATTTCGGTCAACAGCTTCAGTATAGGATCATCAGTCATGGTATTTGGTATCTTGCCGTCAGTTTCAGTATAGGATAGTCTCCGTGTAGACTCAGGATTAGTATTAGTTTCATTTTGCCATCGTTAACCTCAGTATAGTTTCAGTATCAGTCCAGCCCAGTCCCAGCCATCATTTTGCCGTCACTAGTTCCCCCTCATATCATCGCCAGTTCATCTTATCTTTGTTTTACCGCCAGTTTCTCATTTCTCGACTACAGTCTTTGTTTATTGCCATCACGGTATTTGTTATCTTGCCAACGGTATTTCTCTTTGACAGCATTTTCTCTAATTCCATCAACATCGCCCATGGCTTTTACTAGTTAAATTGCCATCACTTCGTTCATGGTTTGCCAGTATTCCCAGTTATACCGGATTCTGTTCCTTCTCGTCTATCGAGACCCTTCCCAGCTTACAGCCAACATTTTCTAGTACTCAATCATTAAGGGTACTACTTCGCTGACTGAAAAGTCGCAGTGTATACTTGCATTCTTGAGGAATTCATCACATGGAGGTGCACTGAAACACTTGCACAACAACAAAGCCTTTATTGCCGCTACGCGCCATTTGCCATGAACTCCTCTAGAGTTTTGGTTTTTGCCATTGCCACGGAAGTTTAGGCTCATCACTGATTTGCATCTTGTTTGTCGGTTCTGAGAAGCTGAGCGATTCATGGCTAAGAGATCATGCTAAACTGCTTGCAGTGAGTGGAGCACGAGTTAGATGTGCATTAAAGTGGCTGAAACAGCACAATCCTCTTTATTCGGACATCATGTTCAATGAGGATGTACTACGTGAATTAGATGAGAATCCCATTCTTCCTATATCTATTCAGCATGTCTTACTGTCCATTGCAGGAGATTCATTGACATCAAGATATGAAGCACCTATGGGTTCTGATTGAATATCAGATACCAGTCCAATGCCATCAGACAATGTGCCTTTCGAGAACATTGTCATAACGGATGTGGATGGTGGTGTGTCTTCTAACAACCTTCGGGCAGTGGCTGTGCATCATATAAAGAGGAAAGGTGGTGGGTACATTGAACTTCCTCATGATCTGGTACCAGCTGAAGAGTTTTATAATCCAGTTTTGTTTCCTATGATGTATCTGACGCTTTTTCTGTATGGCAGAGGGGGGATGGAGGATCATTCTCGTGTTAAGCTGATATTGTTAAAGGCTCATGTAAAACATTATTTCTTATTGAACGATACACGGTTCCAGCGCCATCATTCCTTCCAATTCTCTGCATTCACCATGCTCCAGCACCGGTCTATGTTACTACACACAAGTCTTAAAGTAAAAAAGTCGAGTTTCCCATCAGTAGCTCACCATTTTGCTCAGGTTTCAGCAGCTGCTTTGCATGTGGTCATGGAACAGGTATCCAGAGGCGATCTCACTACAGCCAACAGTGATGATGAACAACAGGCTCTTGAATTGATGAAGGAGATCTGAGCAGTCACCACTTATGTCACCGGTTCTAGTTCATCTCGAACTGTCATGCATAATGAGATTCATGGTTTGATGATGGACCAAGGTCCACCTAGTTTTTATATCACGATAAATCCAGCTGATGTTTATAATCCCATTGTTAAATTTCTTGGGGGAGAGGACATTGATGTAAATTGTTTGTTGCCTGGGGATATACCTCAATTTCAGGATCAGAGTATTTTGGTGGCCAAGAATCCTGCTATTGCCACCCGATTCTTCAATCTGTACATGAAGGCATTCATAAAGTGTATTTTGGGATATTCGCCGGATGAGTTTCATCTCAAAGAGGGTGTGTTAGGGATCACAAAAGCATACTATGGGTGTGTTGAGGTGCAGGGTCATGGAACATTGCATTGCCATATGCTGGTGTGGCTGGTAGGAGGACTTGATCCTAATGAGATCAAGGAGCGAATATTGGAGGCGGGCGACGATGAATTTAAGGATCGATTGTTCCGTTATCTGGATGATAGTTTGAGTAACTATATACCGGATTTGCCTATGGAATGTGACACCGTATTGTCAGATGGATTCCATGCTGCATCTGTATGCAGAGATGATGTTGGAATCATGGATGGTAAACCTGATCTGCCTCTGGTTCAGCAAGATCTTCATAATCTTGTCATTGATTGTCAAGTGCACAAACATGCTAAGACGTGCTATAAGTATTGTCCTTACCCGCTCCCAAAAGTATGTCGATTCGACCTTGATGCAGATAACATTAACCTGGAAACTTATTTCGATTATGAAAAGGGTGAGCTCTGCCTGTGGTGCTTGGACGGGCTGGTCAATAATTTCAACGAGACCATTCTTTGTGCAGTTCAATGTAACATGGACATAAAATTTATTGGTTCCAGAGCTTCTGCTAAAGCTGTTCTGTATTATGTCACCAATTACATTACCAAGTCTCAACTGAAGACACATGTCACGTATGCTGCATTAGAGCTGTCCGTTAAGAAACTTGGTGAATATGACCTGCTTGAAGATGAGATAACCGTCAGAGCAAAACGGTTGCTTCAGAGATGTGCCTATGCAATGTTGTCGCATCAGGAACTGTCTGCACAGCAGGTTTCATCATACCTTATGGAATACGAGGATCACTTCACCAGTCATGAATTTCAGGGGTTGTATTGGACGAGTTTCGAGTCGTATATCAAAAAACAGATGCCCTCCCCAGAATGCAAGCCTTTAAAGGGTGTATCTCCAATTGCAAAAGATCATCCGGCAGTAGAGGAACCAGGCGATGCTGTAGATGCTGGCCCTGAGGAATTGGTTGGTACGTCTCAGTGAGGTGTACCTGATTCAAATACTGGTATGCAGGCTGTCCACAGCATGTTGAACCAGAGTGTTACAGGAGAAGAAGGTGAAGATGATTTGATGCCAGACCATGAAAATGATGATACTGACACAGAGGAGGACTATAACAATGCTGTCCAAGTCGATGATGTTGTTCTGGCAGACGAGGAGGTTCTTGTAGAGTTAGATGACTTTGGATGGCTCATGGCACGAGGATCTCATGTTTCTGACTATGTGATGCAAGGGCCTGCTTTAAAGGATGTAAGTGTATGGGATTACATGGCTCGAGTGAGGAAAGAGCACATATCTAGGATACAATGTAGGCCTGTCATTGAAGAAGATGATGATAGTGATGCTGAATCAGATGATGGCAATGATGGAAACATACCACTAGAATCAATCACGGATGGTGATTGGACTTCTGCAGAGATCATGTTACAGGATAGACACATAAAACGGCCGAAGTTCAAATTTGTGCGTGGGCACAATGACTGCAGCATGCATTTCCAGTTGGTGTGCCAACCTGGTAAGCATCATGTGCCCATTCCATTGGGTCCTGCCATACCCCATTGGGATCGAAAGGATTTGTATCCGAGGTACTGCAGGCTAATGCTGTTATTGTTTAAGCCTTGGGTTTCTGCCGGGGATTTGCATGATGTCGGTCAGACCTGGGAAACTGCATTCTCTGAATTTATTAAGATGGCAGGTCCAGAGGTATTGAAGGTGATAAATAATATGCAAATAATGCATGAATGTAAGGACAGCAGAGATGATCACTTCGCCGCTTGTCACCTGAGAAAGTCTTCTGCATCTGCATTCAGCCAAGGGGAATCTTCACGAGATGATGATGACTTTGGAGGTGACAGAGACACTGAGGAAGCGATTCTTCACCATTTACAGAGCTTAGAACAGGCGTGGTCAGACAAAGTATTGTATTCTAATGGCAATGTTTCTAGGTGTATGGAACAGGCAGAGGGGTTAGGGATGTTTGCTGTTAAGCCTGGCATGCATAAGTGTGAAACATCGACTCAGTCTGAGATAATGGTGACTGACGAATCTGACCAGATGGAATCTCTGTGGTTTCAAGAATACGAAGATAGATGAATGGAGTCGAAAAAAGCGACCATGGATGGTGAGTCTGGAAGCAAGCAAAAGAACAAGTCTACTGCTGGTAAGGCTAAAAAGGCTACCATTAACGATGGAACAGCATTTAGAGAAGCGTTTGTTTCAGGAATTACTTACACACTGTCTCTGAGACAAGACATACCAGCTGCGGTTATTGAGAAGTCCGTGAACATCAATGCGGCGATTGAGAACTGGACTTTGAATGCCAAACAGAGTCGCGCTTTTCGTATCATTGCAGAACATTTGTTAAAACCCAGTGGAAAGCCCCTTCACATGTTTTTAGGTGGGCCGGGCGGTACGGGCAAATTGCATGTCATTAGTGCACTGCATGACTTCTTTCAGTGTCGCAATCAGGAGTGAAGATTCAGGCTGTTGTCCTACACTGGAGTTGCTGCCAGGAATATTTTGGATATGACGTTGCATTCCACTCTGCTGCTAAATCAACGTGGTTGATGATGTAACCAGTCGAAGTCTAAATGCGACTTGCTGTCCATGTGGCAGGGCATTGACTATTTATTTGTTGACAAGGTATCGATGGTGGGTACGAAGCTGTTAGTCCAAATCTTGAATGCTCTGTGCGTGGCCAAAGAAGATTCATCTGCTTTCGGAGGCATAAACATAATATTTGCTGGCAATTTTGCGCAGCTTCCTCCTGTCAGAGATAGTAAGTTGTTTGCTCAAGTGGATCGTACTAGAGGTACAGATAGTGCACTGACAATGATACAGGGTCGACTCTTGTGGTTGTCCGTAGATACTGTCATCATTCTTCACCAGGTCATGAGGCAAGAAGGTGATAAAAATGCAAGTTTTGTAGAGTTACTAAATTGACTAAGAGTGGGCCAGTGCACTATGAGCGATTTTCAAATGCTGAATAGTAGAATAGCGGATAGGGTTCGACCTGATTGGACAAGCAAAGAATGGTTGGCTTCACCGCTGATTGTATCAGAAAATGCAGTGAAGGATGCATTTAATCGAAGAGCTACAGAGGCTTTTGCAGCTAGAACAGGAAGGAAGCTTCATTATTATTATGCAGATGACATGCATTGAGGCAGAAGCATTGGCGATGGCGACCTGTGCACTCACCTTCAGGACTTGACTTCAGGAACCACTAGTCGGTGTCTCGGTGCTTTGCCACTAGTCATTGGAATGCCTGTAATGATTATGCAGAATTTTGATGTAGAGGGTGGTATTGTGAACGGTGCAACTCGCATACTAGAAAAAGTGCGTTATCATTTAGATGACGATGGAAGACATATTGTGTTGTCTTGCATAATCAAGATTCCATCAATGACTGGGGAGCCTTTATCTGGGCTACAAGAATCGCAAGCAGTCGCTTTGCAAGACACGGTCAATTTACAATTCAGGCATCCCCACTCACATAAATGTTTGCAAATTAAGTGTCGTCAAGTGCCTGTGATGCCTGTGTTCATGATGACAGCTCATAAAGCTCAAGGGCAGATGCTTGAGAACATCGTGGTCAATCTCGAGAACTGTCAGGGTACTGAGGCACCCTATGTAATGATCTCGAGGGTCAAAACATTAGACGGTTTGATTATATTGAGAGACTATAAGTTTTCTCGGTTGAGTACTCAACAGTCTGAAGACTATAGAAAAGAAGACAGATGGTTGAACATCTTGCATCTACTGACCGTAAAATGTATCGGTACTACTTGTGAGAGCAAGGCAGCAGAAGCAGAGTTAAATCGAATATGTAAGAATGTAGATCCATTGGCACTGTACATTCCAGATGGTAGCATGGTGGTTAATGGAGGCACTACAGAACTTGACGTCGTTCTAGGTGCTGTTGACACGATGTATGAAACATACAATAATGCCGATAGCAGTGCATCCCCACACTCCCAATTGAGTAAGAGAAAACAGGCCCAATCTGGCATGGCGATTGCATCGGCGTCTGCTAAAAAGATGAAGTTAACCGATATGAGGTGACACAATGTTCGAAACAATGAACCTCCTCAAAAGAAGAATGCTCTTGACATTGCTGCAGAACATAAGCAGTCTCGAAGGCAGATCACCAAAGAAAGAAATCACAAGTGAGTGATTGAAATTACCACAATCGGCTGTGATCGTATTAATGGGGTTAAGGTTTTGGCTGATCGTGTCCATTATCATTTCGTATGCATTCGCAACCTGATGTCTTTCTGTCCCCTGTCATGTAACTGGCCTTGAGTCCGCACCTCCTGAAGCTGGGATTGAAGATGGAAGCCCTGTCATGTCGGATCGGACAATGAGCAACTGCTTTTATATGCTGTGTGCTAATGATGGGGGCACCCTCCTTGCCTCCCCCTCTCCCCCTCCCTACCACCTGAGCTATTTCTCGCTGCTCGAGTCATCTGGCTCTTTTGTCTTCATATGTACACTATCTATTTCATCTCATTGTGTGATATTAATTGCTACTTGAGTACAGTTAACTCATGAACATCGCTGAGCCTGCAGCAGCAGTTGCTGGATCCCAGGCTTTGTTGACAGATTTTGGTTTCACAACGACCAGTATACTCATCTCTACTAATACGACTGCGACAGTGACAGTACCCAAATTAGCGTTGCCCTCTTGGGACGTGTCTTCCAGTGACGAATGGCACTCCAAGGATGAGTCAGAGTCCTTGGTATTGGAACTGGAGTCAGAGTCCGAATCAAGCAGTGAGAAATTCAGGAATCGAGGTCCCCCTCGTCCTTCCTTGATGAGTCCATTCACGCTGTTTGATGTGATCTATGTCTTGTCTATGGATGGCAATGATAGTGATGATTCGTGAGGGTGACTTTAACTTTTGAATCGGGTGGAGCTGACACTATTCTTGCTGTAGGGATTGCGATCTTGAGGCTGTTCTATCCCATGAGTAACCTTTGCACTTCGTTTTTTAATCTTAATGTTTATATGTGTCCTAGGTAAAACATATGGCCCGATTAGAACTACAGTGTATACTGAGACTATTATCCACAACAGGTTGTCTTCCTATTATCGCTCCTTAATCCTGACTGACATGGATGTGCTAGTCAACAACTACCTTTCCCTCAGGAGATTATTGATTGCATCGCAGCTTTTGCATGCATGGGCAGTCTCGAACCTGGTGACACATACTGCGTATCCATGTGATTGACCATGAAGCGCCTTTCTATGTTGGCACGATGTTTCTGATAGGTGCCACAGCTGTCTCTCTACCACTGAGCCATTCTCTGGAAGACATGACCCATAGAGCTTTGGTGTGACATTTTGTCCATGAATGATGAGCTTTTCAAGGCCGTTCATCACGTTGAGTTGCTGGGATGGATGGAGAGCGATTCGAGTACTCTGCCGATGTTTATCTCTTTGGTTGATCATGGTTACTCTCTCCTCACTATCTCGATACACTCCATCCACTTCAATAACAAGCATGTCCTCACGCTCTCGCCTATAGTTGCCCTGTTTTGTCGACTTCACTTGGAGGGATGTTCTTATGATGACGATATGTTGTTGCATCTTCTTCGTTCGTCTTCATGGTTGGACATGTTGGAAGTTGGTGTGCCTGATCGCTGCATATTTACAAACCTCAGCAAGGGGTCAGTACCAACCACAGACATGTTGTCTTCTGCTGTTGGCAGCATGTTGGAGTCTCACTTGCTCTGCACTTTCTATTATGTCACAGAATATGGTGTTAATTACCTATTTGAAAGTCCATGCTTCAGATCCCTTGTGGCCTTGATGACCCGTTGTCTTCACGATCTATACATTCGTGTGGATCATAAATCATTCCAGTATGTGCAGGACCTAGTCGATCATTCAGGAAGTACTTTGCAATCTGTGGATATTGTGACCAATAATTGTGAGTCTGACCCGTTCGCTGTTGGACTAGTTTCGCTTATCCTAGTGTAGGGCCCCCCCTTGCTGCATCTATGAGTCTTGATCTCAGTGGACACTCTGTGCTTGAGTTGCTGACATTGGGGCAGGACTCCCCTCATCTTGCATTGCTTATCGATGCGCTATTGTCCTATAGGAACCCGTCGACTTTGCGTGACTTAACACTCATGATACAGTTGAAGTATGGTTATCAGTCCAATGCTGCTTGGAGGCGACTCTTTGCAGTCTTCATGGATCATCCATGGTTCACCAAGCTCGAAAAGTTGAACATAGATGTCTTTGCATATACGGCTAGGCATGTGTCCGAGCCTGATGTCATTGAACTGGTGGTGTACATCTGGAAGATTTTCAAGGTGCCAGAGATTGGTTTTCCCATCAAGGTGGCTCATAGGTTGGGAATGCATCGGTTTGATTAAGTGGGGTGTCATCTTATGATGATGCCTTCTTTGCACCTTTATCTTCTGTTTCCTTTAGTGTTTCTTCATCCCTATATCCTTTTTATGTTCGAACCATACTTATGATGTTATGTTGACAATATGATTATACGCTAAAATTACAGGCCGTTCTTTTAAATATATATCATCGCTCATAGGGTATATTCTGTCTACCCAGCATGATCAGTTAATGCTAAGGGGTACCATTTCTTATAAAAGGGGCATTGAGGGATAGGGTGCATGTGAGGCGGTCTAATCATCCCCTTCCATTCGCTTTCAGGCACTGTTTGCTTTCTATGGCTGCTCCACTGCATGAAGGTATGTGTTCTGTCTCTATTGTCTGCACATATACTTATTAATATGCAGAAATTGCGCAATTCAAATGTCAGTTTCCCAATGAAGTACAGGAACATATCGCTCTTCTGTCTTGTATCACTGCCCTCGATGCGAAATGATTATCCCTGGTCAATAAAGCACTCCATACCATGGCTCTTCATAGCTTATATCACCGCATTTCAGTTCGCAGAGGGTGGAGGGCCGGTTTCAGCATCAAGATATATCTGAAACATCCTCATCTTCATCCATATGCTCGAACATTCGAACTGGATGCCATTAACATGGATGACGTGGATTGTTTGCCCGACCTTCTTTGTCTTTTTCACTCTAATTTCAACCTGAGTACCCTCATCATCAGCAACCTCGATCTATGCTCGTCTCTCGCACTTGTACTGTGCCGACTCGTGGAACGCTTCCATCATATCATAATATGCACTTGCAAATATGATGATGTGTGGATACCAGCACTCTTAAATTGTTCTCCAAAGTTGAAGATGTTGCACATTGGAGAACGAGTGATGTCCTACCACTGTATCCAACATCCCGATATTGTGGATGTGCTGCGGTCACTGGTACCCCTCTCAGAGGAGAGCTCTTCCCTCACCTCCTTTACATATTACTATGATTCGCCATACCAGCAAACTGCTCCTCCCTACGATGACACTGACAAGGGCACTGTTAAGATGTTTACACCACTTATTGACAATGCCCAGGTTATGGAGATTGTATCATCTAGATTTCTTGACCTACATCAGGTTTGTCTTTACATCCAGCCACAATCTCATGAGTCCGCTCTGTGCCTGTTGTCAGAGGTAGGACGTAGTATGACTTATCTTGATCTGTGTTACGTGTATGGTGCATGTCTTAGGTCTTTACTACACCATATAGCACTATCTCACTGCTATGTGTTAGACCACCATTGTGAAGAAGACACGAAACTGATACTGTCAACGTGTCGCAGTCTCACTGATTTGAAAGTTACATTGCGATTGGACGACGTGTTGATGGTATTGGCGAGTTTGCGTTCCAATGCCAAGCTCACGTCCATACTTGTCAATCTCTATATTACATCTACAATATTCGATGGTAGTCATTGGCATTCTCTCTGAGATAAGATAGAAGCCATGGTTGCCGATCAGCACCACATGCGTATTAATATGTTCACCATGTTGGATGCAGATGTAATCAGTCGAGGAGAATCTCCGGTTGTTGGTGGGGCAATAAAGACATTCGTTACCTATCCAGGATGGGTGACAATACAAGTATATGGTAACGCAAATGGTAGAACCTGTCTGTGTATGAGTTTTGTGTCATTTTGATTGGTCGACCCATACCCATTTGTCCTTGATGTAAACAATTTTCCTGTATAAACTGACTGTCTGTTGAAATTGTTCCTGGCTTCACTGAGCACATCCTATATGACAACCATTGGTACGAAGCATAGGCGAAGAAGTCCCTAAGTTTGTGCGGATGCAAACAATAAATCCCACCGATAATCTGCTCCATCCGATTCATTGGTCTCCTTGCTAACTCTCTGACTGAGCTTTTCTATCTTGCAATTACGTTCGGGTTTCCGAGTGATCTCTGTCGAGCATGCAGGACAAGTCAACGCAGAAACCTGAAGTCCCCTATCTTGTGTGATGTCTGTGGCAAGGATTTTATCTTCCTGGGTACTACCTTTGAACAAGCACCACAGGCAGGAAGGGTGGAAAGTGTCTCCACATGAGAGACTAGTACCCTGATTGTCAGTCGCAGTGCATGCAGTCATAGGTGTTTTCTCTCTACATACCTGTACGCTCTATGCAGAAATTTATTGCATATCCTGCACTTAAGCTCATTCTCCAGGTCCGACATGACCAGATTTATATTGAACGAATCGTTGAGCTTGACTTGTAAACTGTTCATAGTGCGGTATGCGCGATGAAGTTCGACTTTGGCTTGGAACAGATCAGACTGCGTTTGCTCCAAGGACTGCTCGGCCTGCTCATACTGAGCCAAAACCTGCAAATGAATTATGATAAGGACCATTGTTATGGTGTCTGTGATTGTGTAAGGGCTCACCTGACTATACATCAACATCGCAAGATCAAGCTTGCCCTCTATGCTCTCCACCTTTCATTCTGCTGCAATTACTCTCTTTGAGGTGATAAGCATCGGAATACAGTAGAGTGTAAAGAGCAATACCTTTTCCAGAGATTCCATGTAACTGACAAATTGCCATGCATTTGTGAGGAAAATTTTCGATTTGGTAGACATGTATGTCACTGCTAAGGCATGATATTAGTGGTCATGATCCTATGTCGTCCCTCATACAGTATTGCAAATTATCACAGAATTAAGGAGAATTCTGATCTTACCTTGGAGGTTTTGATGCTCAGGGTTAGGGATGCGCAATGCATAAAAGTAATTAGGATAGCCGAAAGGCGGCAAGTTCTGCTGCAAATACATGCCACACTGATTGATCCGGTGTCTGTGATACATGTGAATTTGAGGCATGGTGCGGCTGGACTTACATGTGAGTATCAACAAAGTGGCTTGTCAGGCAACACCAGATTCCGCTTCGTTTACACACTTGAATGTTGTGTCTGCTGTACATTTAACTTGAGGTGTAACATTAGATCGTTATGTCAAGATCCGTTGTGGGCTACACATCGCATTTCAGGTATAGTGATAAATTTGACTACATTATGCTATTCTGTTAAGACTACGCCTAGTTCTCCTTTCGGCGATATAATGATAAGAAAAAGTTGATATATTGAAGCTTTACAAGGTTATAGTCAGACCCTCCCTAAATTGGTTAGCCTGTATGTGTCATCTGCAGTCATCAGCTTCGCACCTTGTTCGATTTCCATCTCGCGATGTAATCCAGACAGAACCTGACATTGAATCATCAGTACGGCTTCTTTACGAGTATCAGCTGGCTTACTTGCTTATCACCTCTTCAAAAAGTTTCATCTCTTTCGCGTCTGGTTCCAAGTCCACAACCTTATCCTTGACCGTCTTCAAGACCAACATGTTTCTGTACCATGTGTCCTCCAGTTCAACGAGCGCAGACAGGTGAGGATTTTTCATGTTATTAAAATCCTGTAAGTTCCTGACCTGCTGCAATGGACAAAAGAACAGCTCCAATGCTTCGTCTGACTGGTCTGTGTACGAGATGGTAGCGTGACTGAGCGCCCGCTTGTATGTGTTCTGGTGGGCATCTCGCACCCATTGGCGAGTGTTGAAATCATCGGTGATGACAGATCTGTTTTTGCACTTTGACAATGCAACAGGTATGGTGTGAGGCTCTGTGGCTGATTTGCTGTAGAACAAACTGGTCTTGATGCATCGGGTCCACTTGGAAGGCATCATGGTATTAGCATATCGTAATATGGGTATCCACAGGGTACTCACCAGACTGTCTTTAACAATCATTGAACACAGATGACCTATACCCTCAGAAGTCAAAACCAGGCGGGCTTCAGTTGGCATCTCAGGTGGTAACCATTCCATCTCCCGCTTGACCACCTTTATCCATCTGTTCAATTTGGCATTGGTTATCTGCGGGTTGGGCAGCATCAAGCTATTGAATACGCATACAATCAACCGCTGACATATAGGGTCACTTATTGTCAGCCAGCAACAGGCAAATGAATATGCATATGATCAACCAACAGCATATAGGGTCGCTTGTCGCAACAGAGGGGTGCGTGCATTCGTGATCAGGATGGATAGGATGTTAAAGTTTCTCACAGCGTTATGGTTAAAATCCTTCTACCCATGATAGATGCCATTTTTACACCGTATCACTGTTCAGGCTTGTCAAGTGGCCCGCAGTGTGAGGCTGTTCGTTCACATATTTTCGAAGTACTGCAGCCATTCTTTAACCTGTTGAGTATCTCATCCAAGGTCTGAACACACATGATATCTGTTTCATACCAATTGACAACCGAGTGCCGACAGTAAGTGAGGGTAGTTTCTCTCTGAATGTTCTGATCGTATCATAATTAGAATAGACATGGTCCACCATATCAGGATCTGACTGTAACAGTCCGTTCTTTCCTTCCGGTGATACTAACGGTTCTGCAATCATAACAGATGAATGCGAACATATCTGGGTGACTTTCAATGCATGGTCCGCTTCTTCAATAGATGTGATTCAATAAGGTAATGGATCCATATGTACTTATATGTCAAGGTCCTCATTTACATCTAGTTCTAAGGACATCCTGCGTTTCTTGGGAGGATGTCCATCCTTAAGTCGACCATGACCTTGTTCACGAACAATGGTATTCATTGCCTGCAGAAGAGTGAGCTGAAGTAGATGAGTTTCACGTTAAGACCTACCTCACTGCTTCGTCAGTCAATTATGGCAACAGAATCAAGACAAAGTTGAACCTGGCCTTTCCCATTAAAATGGACGATGCGGAAAGAAATTCCCATGTTTACGAAGTCTCCAACTTTCAATGTACCCAGGTGCATCTATTATGACTTTACCCCTATTTTCCTTATCTTATCTTATCCTTATCCCTTGGAACCCCGGACCTGCCTATCTTATCTCTCAGACCCATGATATTCCGCCAGCACATTCCTTACCTGCTTACCCAGTTGTCGTCACCCCAGTTCATCACTGCTGCCCTCAGGTGACCAACGACCCACATGTGCCATCATGCTTCTCTTGATGGCATCATGCTTCTTAGTAGTTGGACAAGAGTCGACCGCCAGTCAAGGGTGGTCTGTGGGATGCAGCCCATTCAGACGGAGTCCTGTGCAGATACAGGTGATATGTGCCCTTTACTCTCATTCGTCAGGAGTACACTTCTTTTAGTGTCCTCACTCCTCATTCATTGAAAGATGCACTTCTCATGGCATGCGCCCTTGTAGACACTACTCTTAGTATGAGCCTAACATGTATTTAAGCTAGCCTACACTGTGGCCTTAGACCCCAGCTTCGGCTAAGGTTATATACTCCTAACTCTTACAAGCTCCTTGCTTTTGCTATAAAGTGACGCCTAACTTCTTGCAATCTACCAATGCCTCTCTAACACTGAATCACTGAATGCGAGTGACAGGATAGAGATCAGCTTTGGCGAAGGTTCGAGTTAGTGCTTAACAATTAGCCGAAGCTTGCCCTTACTACCCTTACCATTGTCAATGGTAACTGTACCGTTTCAAGGCAGTCACTGTTATACTTCCAAAGAAAAAAGAAACCTTCAGCCCGTTATTTAAAATGGCACCCACCATACCCTGAGATCATAAACATTCGTTGTGATACAACAAACTTTATGCTGCTCATCCCCTCAGACCGCACCGCCATTATCTTCGGAAGTACCTTCAGTATTTTGACACTAGTAACTGCAGTCGCAGTTCTCCATATCCTCTGACCAACCCAATGCCAAAGAGCACCAACCCCCAGAAGAGGGACAGTACATGGACTCAATGGCTCATCAACAGGAACCTCATGAACAACAAGCACCATCTGGCTCCAGTCCCTCACACCACAGCCAAGGGGGGAGTGAGACACACTTCGACACCCCTTACCCAACAGAGAAGACTGAGCCCCCACACTCAAGCTTCAGGGTGAGGATCAGCGAGATGGTGAAGGCAAAGAATCCCTTCAGGAAGAAGACCTCGGACGACTCAGCATCCCTCCAGACGATGGAGACGACCGAGTCGACCCAAGGTTCACCACCGAGTATTGGACCAATACAGATGGGTCCTGGGATGCCATGACCTGGGGTGACGACAATGACTCCTGGGAGTCAGCAATCTCCTCCACAGAGTTATCAGCAGCCATCCCAGGGTTCGATGACGATGGAGAGCATCTCTATCGAAGGGGAATGAGTGGGTTCTACATTGACACATTCAACCAAATCATCCATGGATGAACCAGGCGAAGAACCACCTTTGAAGAAGGTGAAAACCTGTTCCTCCCTGCCCGGGAATGAGGGGAAGTATGGGGAGTACCTGACACAGGAGGACATTGAAGAGATGAATCTCCCAAGCCGGAGTGGTATGACGCTCCAACCTCTCCCACGTCATACACCCCCGATGGAACCTACAGAGTTGAAGGACCCCTGTCCTGGTGGGACGACAAGTCCGTCCATGAGTCAGACTTTGTTTGGCCTTCCCCCCACCCTGAGTCCGAAATCCTACCCTGAATGATTATCACCATCGCCGACCTCAGAGATTTTGCAGAGCCTCGCTTTGCCCATATCTCAGAAATGTACACTAACGACGCCGCTGGAGATGGAACCAATGACGTCATATTCACAGAGTACTCCTACAGTAATAATGACAAGCTCCCAGAGTACTACACCCACCCAGGATCCCCGATTAATGAGGGTCAGTGGGTCATCTTTCCAGGAGACACCCCCGAGGGGGACAGGATTCTCGATTGGTTTGCCGGAGACCAACCCTTTCCAGACCCTGTCATCCTCCCGAACCGTGTCCCGAGGGAGCTTGAACAGACCCCTCCCCATCCATACCCCTACTGCAACTGCCCCATCTGTCGCCGTCTCAGAGCCCTGGCCACAATCGAGTATGAGGGAGCAAAACCCCCTGACGAGCTTGAACCCTTCCTTGCCCCTGAAGGAGGGTTCTTACCCAATGGATATGATGGAGGGTTCCTCCCTCCCAGAGGACTATGGCCCTGGATCTGGAGATGTGAAGATGCCCTGGAGATCTGTGATGAGTACTGCCGATACTTCTGGGGCGTATGGCAGTGGAACGATGACTGGTATGCAGGATATACAATATTCTCCAGATACCAGATCATCGGCTACCTGCCCAATCACGACAACAGGGCAGATCCCTGGACCAGAACCGGGATGGTCATCGAACAATGGCTCCAGGAGGATGAGCCCAGCAACCCTCCCAGTAGAAGCCCCTCCTATGACCCACCCGAGTTCGTCCAAAACTCAAGCACAGGGGCTTATGGATCGACAAATATATGATCTAACATGGCAGCAAATGTTAGAATGGACTAGCAGATGACTACGGTACAATGTAGATTGGACCACGTCTGACCAAGGACAAGCATATAATGCTGCAGAACTAGGTTCTGAGTTGGAAGACAAGATACTTCAAACCGAGACCTGGTATCATGCTGCGCTTGACTGGAACAGAATACACCCTGACTGTCCCATAGCACCAGGAAGGCACTATGGTGAAGAGTCATTCCCTGACCTGGGAATAGTAGGCCCAGAAAACCCGATTTCGGATACCGTCTGGGCACCCTCCAACACCCTAGGACTTGAGGCAGCAGGAGGCACCTTCCATGCCCGTAGCATGGCCAGCAAAGCCTCACAAACTGTGCCAACAGGAAAGGCAGGTGGACCAGCACCCGCTGCTCCCGGAGGAGGTGGCAGTGGCCCGGGAGGACCAGGAGGCGGAGGAGGACCTCCACTAGTACCACCTCGACCTCCAGCACAACCACCGTCACCGCGTAGTGATCAAACTCTCTGATCACTACTGTGATCCACCAATCTCCCACTACCCCCTGATCCGCCAGACAGTTGGGTTATTCCCGATGGACAACCCAACCCTTGGGGAAACGTAAAACCAACGCTGATAGAAGTCTCCAATAAATTCCATGGGAAGGCCAGCGACTTAGATCGCTTCTTTAATCACTGCGAATACTACTTCAAGGTCTTTGCCCAATACTTTGCCCTCAATGAAGCATATGGGTATGGCCTGAGTCGAGTAGTCTTTGCAGCCCACCGTTTTGGTGGGGAAGCGATGACCTGGTGGGTCCACCAGCAATGACACTACAAGGACCCACACAGTGGGAGACATCACCTTCCCTCCTGGGAAACCTTCCAGGAAAACATCTGAACACATTTCAGGGAGGTAGCGGAGGTTCAAATCAAGTGGATGCAATGGAAGAAACTGCAACAAGCGCAGTTTAAGACAGCCATCGAATTCTTCGAGAGATTCGAACAACTGGCTGTGGAAGCCAAGCGCTTCCACAATGACGAGGAAATGGAGGAAATTGTCGCCCTCGCAATCTGGCCCAATATTAAACAGATTATTATGGGCGGAGACAATATGCAGCCTACCACCTACTGGGAGTGGAGGCACAGGGTCCTACAAATGGACGAGAACTATCGAGTTGATCTCACCCAAGGCGGGAAGTATCCCAGCAGGACTGCTGGTTCCAAGCCCAGAATAGCAGGGGGCTCTTCGAGTGGCTTGAAGAACAGGAGGGATGCCACTGGATTCACCTACGGTGGTGAAGGTGAACCTATGGACATCAATCGTCTCAAAAGAGAAAAGTGATGTTTCCGGTGTGGACACACCGGACACCAGGGGTGGGACAATAAGTGCCTGCCTGACAAGTCAAAGTGGCTGAAATTCCCAAAGAAGAAGCCATCGACTTTTGCAACCCGTCTCCGAGCTGTCCTAGCAGAAATAGAGGAAGAAGACCTCACTAGCTCAACAGAGATTGAGGAGATAAAAGAGACACCGATGTAGGACTCTGCGATTCTACTTCATCGGCTGGGGTTTATCATGGTGCACCTTACAACATGAATATTCACACTTATGCTGTATCTGTAGATACTTGTAACAATATATCACATTCATCTCGCACTATGAAGGAATCGCAAACCAAGAATGGTGTATCAGGGGATTACCACCGCCTGTCGGGCAATGAACCCCGAGGGTCAGGCATGAAAGAGTTGGACCCAACTAGCAGCTCGAGGCTGTACCAGTGCGGGACGGATCTCGATCAGACGATCAAGGATCCAGAAGCAACTCTCGATCATTCGATCAAGAACCTGGAACAAATTCTCGATCAATGGATCAAGAGTCCAGGCACGACCAGGAATGAAGCCCAGGATCGATGGGGCTACTCGTGCCTGTCCCCTCCGCCCAACGCTTGCATAAAAGCAGGAGGGGGACCCTTGAACTTGCCCCTTAACAGCGTACATGGGATTTCCACTGCTTTAACTAGCAATGAACCCCACCAGCCAAGTCCTAGTGCTGGCAGTACCTGCTGTGTCCAAGCCACTGCAAATACCCCTTTGGGGCACACGTACAATGCAGAGGAGCCTACCGGTGATACGCCTGGTATCAGGCTACCTGTAGATTTTGCGATTTTACATCAGTTTATGCAATCTACAAGCGGTACAGAGGGCTACAGTGGAGGCTTCACGCTGGTAGCTAAATACTACATAAAGAATGAAAGCATGGTAGTACAGAACGGACTTAGAAACGACATCTCGAAGAGTCAATTCTACCAGCTGTCAACACGCCAAGCTAAGCCCTACCTAAACAAGACTATTACAGTCAAATCTCGGGGACTTGTCTGTATGGAGTATAAAAACCAAGAAGTTGAAGAATGGAATGAACTAGATGCCTCGTCGCCTCGACGAGTAGAAAGAACCTGTCAGGAAAAATTGCTAAGTCGAGAAACAGATCAGCTTTCGAGATCAACTCAGGCTAGGAAAGGAATAACCTTGGAAGAATGAATAGCCGCGTTGGGTACCGAGATGACTGACCTTGATCGCGCAGTGATCAACAGAATACAATCTCGGACCTGCAGTCAATCGCAATCGGTGGTTACATCCTTGAGATCCTGCGCATACCGCAGTATTCAATACATACGGCGCGCGGCAGGCCTTGCAGATGGAAGAAGGAGCACCCATGGACTAGTAGGGCACTCCTCGGTGACAGAATAACCCGGCACAGTCGTGTCGAACTGAATAGAAACTACGGAATGGTGCAATACTTGTAGGATAGTGACTCACCATTTGTATTAATTCCAAAGCTCGTACCATAATTACTGTAGATACGGGCTCCTATACCTAAAACACGAATCATATAAATTAGCAGCGACTAGACGCATAACGGCAGGAAAGCATTCCCCCCACGTTTGTGCTAGTAGCCTGTATAGCTACCTAATCAATCACTGGTTTTTATTGCATATCCTCGACTGAAGTGAATTAAGTTACCAAAGTCAACCCATAAGGGTGACTACAGTAATCTAGAAGAGTTAAGTAGGAAGTAGAGCCGTCCCCACGTTTGCGCCTTGCTAGTTAATTGAACTGCTCCATGGACAAAGGCCTCGTGTTCTCTCTCTCCGAGATTAGCGATCTAGACGTGCTGAGTCGACTTTAAATCAAAAGACCTCATCTAGTTGAAGTAAAATAAGCCCTAGAACGCTTTAAGTTCGAACAATCATCGAGTTCAAGGAACTCCAGAGTCTGTGTACTCTTTGCAAGTCTTGTACTTGAAGTCAGAACCTGAGCGTTCTTTGTAGAGTGATTTTGCACTCTTTGTAGACCTTGGAGTCTTTGGTTGTTTGATTATTTGAAGTGTCCGCTAGAAGTTCTTCTAGACGACATCGAAACGAGCATAACTTGCTCGACTATACCTTACAAAACAAGTTCATAAAACCCCGCTATCGCGGACTAGTGTACTTTGTGTAAAACACATCGAAAGAAGAATTGAAGTGGTTTTCAGGCAAAACCCCACTAGATTATCTAAATCTAAGTACATCACGAGTGCTTCTATCGTACTCACCCTCGAACTTATATACATTGGTGATTGTGTGTGTGTGTGTGTGATTTAGTATCTAGATTGACGATCTAGACACTTGTTTCATTTGCGCGCTGCCCGTTACCGAGCACATCACCGGTTCGACAGGCAACCAAGGGTGGAACCTTGGGGGTGCGACGTCATTGTTCCCTGCAGGTGACGTCCACCATATGGGAGGTCAAAGCGAGGACTATATAGTCCAACTCATGGGAAAGTTGCATATCGTGGCAGTGGGTCCAGATGATGGTGAACTGGCATCTCCTCTGTGTATCAAGGTTCCCCAACGACAGACCACTTCGGTGATGGTGAGGTCAGGGAATCCAGGCGAGCCTAGGGACGAAGCCGAGGGCCGGTGGAGCCCAGCGGACCCAATGGCGGACTGTTGTAAAGCCTCTGGAGATAACCCAGCACCACACGTGGACCCAAGTAGAAAGGATAACCCAGGAATGGCCACCTCTATCATAGAGGACACCAGCCGAAAAAGCTCAATTGCCCACAAGGAACAAGCGGGTCGAACAGGGGAGAGAGACTCCCCCTTTCAGGTACATCTCCCCTTCAAGGATAGCACTGATGGCAGGGAAAATCCTAGTTATTTAAAGAGTTTATGGAACTCTCCAAAATACAGTGAAGTCCCAACTAACCCGAGTGGGTGTCTGCACCGAGGCGAAAGGGAACTGACCAGTCGCACGGTCATAGGAGCAGGGCCTTTGCAGCCTATGAACTGTGACGATGAGAGGAAGACCCCAATACCACCAGCATCGGTGGAGTACTCTCAGGGCTCCCAATGGCTGAAGCCCTTCGGAGCTGCCTGGACTTGGTGAGCTATGCGACTCACCAAGACCCCAGGAGAGAAGGTATCACTTCTCAAACAGTGGGTCCACCCCCGATGACAAATGGAGGTGGATGAGCCACTGGTAACCAACTTGGAGAACCAAGTCAGGGAATCCTATCTGGACGAGTACCAAAAGCTGGAATATATGGATCAGCTTACCAAACCACCCCAGTACGTCTGCGGAGCGAAAGGGCAAAATATCACAATCACCCTACAATTGGAGACCTTTGATACTATGGCCCATCACTCTGCAAAGGCCCTGATCGACAGTGGCTGTACTGGAAGCACTATCGACTGGCAGTGGACCCATGATCATGGTATTACCACGCATAAAGTGGCTCACCCCACTCCGGTCTACAACACAGATGGTACCTGCAACAAAGGTGGCGACATCACTGAATTTGCTGAAGTTTGACTCAAAATCGGAGATCACAGTGAACGTATCAAATTAGCAGTCGTCGACCTAGGAACCACACCTATCTTCCTAGGACATGACTGGTTACAGAGGCATAACCCACTTATCAACTGGAACACAGGTTCAGTAACTTTAGCATGCTGCGACTGCCACAAAGTACCGTTCCATCTCCCAGATGAGGATCCAGAGCAACAGTGGGGAACCGAAGTCGAGGATGGAGATACCATCCTCATCATAGACTTTGAGGAAGCCTTTCACATACAAGTGGTGGGACATAAAGCCAATGACTTAGCAGCCAAGGCCAATGAGGGCAAAAAGATAAAATTGTTCAAGGAGATTGTCCCTGAACATTATCGAGACTTCATCGATGTCTTCACCAAGGAAAACTTTGATGAACTCCCCCCTCGCAAGCCTTGGGATCATGCCATTGAGCTGATTCCCAATGCCAATGCCAGCTTGGACTGCAAGATATACCCCTTGAACCCAAGGGAGCAAGAGGAGCTGGACAAATTCCTGGATGAGAACCTAGCCACTGGCTGAATTCGACCCTCCAAGTCCCCAATGGCATCTCCCTTTTTCTTTGTTAAGAAAAAGGATGGAAAGTTGCAGCCCGTACAAGACTACCACAAGCTTAATGAAATAACCATCAAAAACCGCTATCCTTTACCGCTTATCTCTGATCTTATGGATAAGCTCAAGGACGTGAGGTATTTCACTAAGCTGGATGTCCGCTGGGGATACAATAACGTTCGAATCAAAAAAGGGGACGAGTTCAAAGCTGCATTCCACACTAACTGGGGGCTCTATGAACCGATGGTTATGTTCTTTGGATTAACCAATTCACCAGCCACATTCCAATGGATGATGAATGATATCTTTAAAGATCTCATTACTCAGGGAAAAGTCACCATTTATTTGGATGACATCCTCATCTTCACCAAGGACAAGGTGGAACACCAAAGAATTGTGTGGAAAGTCCTAAAGATTCTGCGAAAGAACAAACTGTTCTTGAAGGCAGAAAAATGCGAATTTGAGGTACTCAAGACCGAGTACCTTGGAGTCATCATCAGCGAGGGATCCATTAGAATGGACCCAATTAAAATTGCTGGTATCATGGACTGGCCAACGCCCTCCAAGAAGCAGGAACTACAGTCATTCCTAGAGTTCACCAATTTCTATCGACAATTTATCTGGCATTATAGCGCAATCGTCAAACCAACGACGAAACTTACAGGGAAGGTCCCCTGGACATGGGGAAAGGAACAACAAGAGGCGTTGGAGGAACTCAAATGCCAATTCGCAACAGGAGTCATTTTGGCAATGCCAAACGACTACAACAAGTTTCGCATGGAGGCGGACTCCAGTGAAGGAGCAATCAGGGCCATCCTGTCTCAGGAACAGGAAGGAAAATGGTGCCCGATCACATTCCTATCAAAATCTCTTTCCGTGATGGAACGGAACTACAAGATTTATGATAAGGAATTGCTAGCAATAATGATCGCCTTGGAAGAATGGCGACATTACCTTATGGGTGCCCATCAAGATTTCGAAATCTGGATGGATCACTCAAACCTGCAATACTTCCGCAAACCCCAAAAACTCAACCGCAGACAAGCGCGGTGGGTTACTGAACTAGCAGAATACCATTTCACACTCAACCACAAGCCAGGAGCATCCAATAGGAAGGCCGACCTTCTAAGCTGGTGGGCCGACCATGACCAGGGCAAGAAGGACAATGACGATATTGTCCTCTTGAAGCCAGAATTCTTCCATGCCTTAATAGTGCCAGCAGAGGAGGAAATTCATGGCAAAATTCGAAGAGCGACAAGCGATCACCAATGGTGGGACCGAGGGATTGCTTTGAGCCTCAACCACGAGAAGAGGGTCATTGAGAAAGACAACCTGCTATTCTACGATGGACGTATCTATGTTCCCCATGACCACACCCTACGGGGAGAACTCATCTCCCATCACCATGACCATGTCTCCGCAGGACACCCGGGCATCGAAAAAACCAGAGCATTAGTCTTAAGGGACTACTGGTGGCCCAAAATGCGAATGGACGTGGAAACTTACATCCAAGGATGCGAGGCGTGTCAAAGGACGAAAACTGATATGCAGCAGAAAGCAGCTCTGCTACATCCCAATGCTGTACCATCTCAACCCTGGGAACACATCTCAGTCGACATGATTACTGGATTTCCTGAATCCAAAGGCTACGACGTGGTATTAGTCGTTGTAGACCGATTCTCGAAATACATTGTGCTAATTCCATGCACAAAGGAACTCTCATCAAGTGGATGGGCCAAAATCCTACGTGACGAGATCATTTGCTGATTTGGAGTCACCCCCTCCAAAGTCATCTCCGACCGAGGACCCCAATTCATGTCGAAATTCATCACTGAGCTATACGCAATGATGAATATTCAAGGAAATCCATCAATGGCCTATCACCCTCAGACAGATGGACAAATGGAGCGGGTTAACCAAGAACTCAAAAAATACCTTCAAGTCTTCGTTAACCACAAACAGGACAACTGGAGCGAATGGCTGCAATGGACAGCATTCGCTCACAACAACCGCCAACACTCTGCAATGGGCTTTTCCCCCATCAAAATCGTCTTTAGATGAGATGGGGACATTCGTCCAACCACGGTGAGGCAGTCGGAAACACCATCGGTAACTGACTTCATCGAAAGCCTCCAGAGAGTATGCAAGCAAGCGGAAGACTCTCTGAATAAAGCCGTCAGAGTTATGAGAAAGGCTTATGACAAACACACTCGCCCTGCACAGGAGTACCAACCAGGAGATAAAGTCTGGTTGGACTCAACCAACCTTCACCTCCCCCAACCAGCAAAAAAGCTAGGCAACAAACATGTCGGCCCCTTTGAAGTAGTTTCCAAAAAGGGGCCCTCCACATACGAACTAAAGCTGCTGCCAGGATGGAAGATCCACAACAAGTTCAATGAACGATACCTAACTCTGTATGTCCCCCCGGAGTTTTCCAACCAGGAAAAACCTCCGCCACCCAAACCGGAGCTCGTGGAAGGCGAAGAAGAATATGAAGTAGAGGAACTACTTCAGGACCGCAACCGTGTCGTCGGTCAAGGACATAGCTGGAGGACCATAACAGAATATTTGGTCAAATGGAAGGGATACCCAGTGGAGGAAGCTACCTGGGTCAAGAGGAGCAATCTCGCCCATGCCAAAGAACTCATCAAACAATACGAGGACAAGGAAGACCGCATAGAGGATCACAATTTGCGACACTTGGGGAAGGAAGGGGGATGTATAACCATATCATCTCCTGGCCCTTCGACCGAGAGCTCAACACTCTTTCCAGTCAGGAATCATACCGATCCATTATCCTCCAACGAGCAGGGCTTTTATTCATCGGACATGGATGAAGACGTCTTTGAAGACGAGTGTTCTGAGTCTCCTCTAATGACTCAGACCAACTCCAGCTTCCCTCAAGAAGAACGGGGCATGTCTACTTGGGAACAAACCAAGAACTACAAATGGGATAGGGAATCTACTAACTCCCTCGACTCAAGGAGTAAGTACATCTAAAGGACTGTCGGGATGACAGTCTTAGTCAGGGGGTATTATTATGGTTTTACCCCTATTTTCCTTATCTTATCTTATCCTTATCTCTCGGAACCCCGGACCTGCCTATCTTATCTCTCAGACCCATGATATTCCACCAGCACACTCCTTACCCACTTACCCGGTTGCTGTCACCCCAGTTCATCACTGCTGCTCCCAGGTGACCAATGACCCACATGCGCCATCATGCTTCTCTCGATGGCATCATGCTTCTTAGTAGTTGGACGAGAGTCGACCGCCAGTCAAGGGTGGTCTACTGGATGCAGCCTATTCAGATGGAGTCCCATGCAGATGCAGGTGATATGCACTCTTTACTCTCATTCGTCAGGAGCACACTTCTTTTAGTGTCCTCCCTCCTCATTCGTTGAAAGACGCACTTCTCATTGCACGTGCCCTTGTAGATACTATTCTTAGTACGAGACTAACATGTATTTAAGCTAGCCTATGCTGTGGCCTTAGACCCCAGCTTCGGCTAAGGTTATATACTCCTAACTCTTACAAGCTCCTTGCTTTCACTATAAAGTGATGCCTAACTTCTTGCAATCTACCAACACCTCTCTAACACTGAATCACTGAATGCAAGTGACAGGATAGAGACCAGCCTTGGTTCAGATTAGAGTTAGTGCTTAACAGCAAGGCCAAGCAGGGTCGAGTATATTGCCTTCGTATGACAGGGACAACATACGCAAGTTATCAAGATGGAGGAGGGACCACACCAATGGTAGTGCATTGAAGGACTCGCCATCTCGAAGGGTAAGACTTGCAACTGTGGGTAGCTCAATGATACGTTCAAACTGCTCGACGTCTGCATCACACGTGATGTCTAGTCTGCACAGGTTGTCCATGAGGGGCAGAAGGTCCAACATGGCGGATGCTTGGTTGTACAGCTGAAATCGGAATTCCTCCAAGTGCTGTAAAACAGCGGGTGGTATCATCAAGGCATGGAGGGGGACATCAAATATGGACAATGACTGGAGGTCTGGTGTGAACGATAATGACGAGAGTATAATGTTGGTGTATGTAGGATGACCAGTACTTGCCATAGATGTGTGGTGAGAATCATTTATAGCAAGCGTCTTTAATGCTCCTAAAGACCCTGTACAGATATCCAATGCACGCCATACATCCATGGGAGCATCCATCGAAAGACTTTGCCATTGGCTACACCTGCAGATAAGGCAGTCGACAAGAGGATTGCCTTCGATATGCAACCGAGGCACAATGATAGTTATATTGAACAGAAGAGCCAAACACCTGGACAAGCATTTGTCCAACACATGTAAGGTGTAGCATGACGAAAGTGAGCTTGAAAGCTGCAGGTTGGCATCGGAGAGGAAGTCCAAAGATACAGCTGACCACAAAGAAGGAGACTCAAGACAGATGTATCTCCATTGATGGCAAACCTGTGCCCATCGCCATAAATTGTCCATTACAGAGACACAAGCATTGAAGCCACCCTTCCTTCCATACATGAATATTTCTCTTAACAGTTCGGGTGGAAACATATGTGTGGGATGCATCACAGTTTTGATTAAGCGGACGTCATTTTTTGCAATTACAAGTTCTTGTTGTATCTTGAGGTGCAAATCTTTGCACTGCTCGAGTGTTTTGTATAGTACAGCAATGTCGGAAGTACAATGGGTGAGTGCTGCTTTGAGCAAAAGCAGTTGCAGGGAATTAGGTGCATCATTGGAAGAAACCAGTCAGTTCCAATTGGACACATCAATGGTATGCATGCTCGAAGGAAATGCCACCGGGAGGGATGCCTTGTCAGCCATACTGTCGAAATCATACAACATTAGTTAATTGGAGGAATGAAGCTGTAAGTGACTCGCTGACGTTCAGAGTCTTTAGGTGATGTAGAAGTAGGATGAAGATATGCCAATAAAGGGGTTACCACTGGGTAACCTTTTGTGGACCATCATAGCAGTACGCACAATCGACTTGTTGAGGCACGCCGGATGTAATACATGCTCACATGGCATTGCATGATTACAAGAGGGGTCAAGAACCAATGGGTCTATTGGGTGACATGAAGGTGTGTTTAAAAATGTGGAGATATACAGACAGTAACTAAAAATTCGATGCCATGTTCATGTTCATTCATTCATGTTCGTGTTCATTCATAGAATGTGACCTATTGAAAATAAACGGAACGTATAGTTGCGATAGATGATTGATGATGATTCGGTGACTGAATCTGATACAGAGGACAAATTTTCTAGTTACTCCTGTTGCTACGAAAACTCCACCAATGAAGCTAGCCTACCACCCAGATTCTGTAATTGAAGCGGTTTCAGATTCAGCATGATCGACTTCCCGATACGGTTGTGCAGTAGAAAAACATACTTGAATATGAATGGCATAAAGATCAATAGGCAATATTATTGCAAACGTCTTAACCTAGAAGCAGCATAAGACGAAGAAGTAAAGAACACTTGGCAGAAATCAAACACACTTATGAAGCAACCTGTTAAAGTCTTGATAAGTTACGGTGAATGGATAAGATCGAGGAGGATCATTTAAGCAATCTCTATTAGGGGGGATGGATTGATAGGCTAGGCACAATTCTCTGTAGTGAGGGAGAGAGCGCAATGCAGATGCAACCAGTGACCAACTTTGATCTCTGAAGTGTGCACTGAGAGTGATATGTTGAAGCAGGGCATCCTTGGGTACAGTGTGCAGGGTTTCGAGAATCGCGTTTTGCTCATTATGTTCTGAAAAAATAGCCAGCCATTCGATTGAATGGGCATGAGACAAAATGAGGGCATATGGGGACCCCACCGACGTGTCTGTACAAACGATCAGTCAAGTGGTTGATGGGTCATGCTCACAAACTCACCATTAAGGTTTACCAATAAGCGTTTGATCCCATTATTAAAAGTCAACATGACAGCCACTTCTGTATTTGGTGGAGGGGCGACTGCATGCAAATGAGCCAAACCAATGAAGACCATTTCGAATGCTATCCATGACATAAGACAATCAAACAATCAAATAGTGTTGTGCATGGATGTGTGGTAGACTTCTAGCTTTCCTACTATGCGAGGAGGACCTGTTAGGATCGTGCCAATAGGATTGCAGCAATAAGTGCACGTAGTGGAATGCCGCAGGATGCATCGGGCATAGGCAAAGCTATTAGCAACGTCACCCCTGAGCCGAAGCCCTAAGATGGATACGGATAGAAGTCCATGGGGTGGCAGAGATGAGGTAAAAGATAAGTCCAATGGATCAGAGTTCCACGGACTGGAGAACGAGAGTGTGACTTAAGAGTCAGAGAGAGAGATTGGGCTGAACCAAGTTGATATTCGAACTGAGTATCTACAGTGTAATTCTAAGGCTTATATACTAGTTAGGAGTCCGATCTAGTTCCTACTCGGAGTGGTCTACATTCTAGGGTTGTCAGAGGATGTATTCTACCAGTTGGTAGCTGATGGGGTCCAATGACATGTTCGCTACTGATGTCAGGCTATTGATAAATTAATATGGAGAAGTGAAATATAAAAGGAATATGAAATGGAATATGAAATAGAAACTGGGAATCGGAATCCGTAGGTTTCTGGGCTGTGGTTTGTTGGGTTGAGTGGAAGTCAGGTTTCCATCGGCATGCTCATTACAGGACCATGGTATGACACTCCAGGTGTATCCACTGGATGGAAAGCAGGACAGATGACAGTGACGCTCATGATATGGGAAAAGTAGAACAGGTATAAAGCACCCATGCTACAGACATAACAGTTCTCCAACCTAATGTCTACACCTGCATGGAAGAGGATAGGGGTGTGAAACTGAGCCAGGTCAATCCGAAAGGCAATGAATACGTGTATTCCATGGCAAAGGGCTAGGATATCATTGAGAAAGAAAGATGTCAAGGGCATCCCTCAACCATCAATATGTATCACTTGCACACATGGTGCTAACACTGAATGGAACTGCAGATAATCGGACCAATATCCACAGTCTCTGCACCTGCTGACATGTATCTCCTGTAGCAAAACTCTTACACTGGCATCGTACCAGCCTTGACATATGGTTAGACATGTATATAAGTCACTGTGTGCAAGAGTAGAGTCGGATAAGATACGTGCGAGGATATCGTACAGCAGAAGCGGTGAAGACATGACAGACGGCAGGCAGGCAGCGGTCGTTGACAGAGATACAATAAACAGGGGCAAGGTACAGAATATCAGTCACATATGAATTTGACACTGTACTCATGGAGCAGATCAACTGCTTTCACAAATGCTGCCCTAGTTTGTAACACCATACTAGTGTTATCTTCTACCGCACAATGCAATGCAGCAATCTCCTCTTTAAGGATCTTAATATCATCTATGTCATTAATGCATTTTTGCTTCCTTTGCGGGGAAGCAGCAACAGCAGCTTCGATGTTATCCTTGCAGGGGTAATCGTGGCGGGTCCCTACCGAGCAAGACAGTCTCCTGATCAGCCCGCCTTTTGGACAGGAAAGCTGGAACAAGGCACACTCGTGACACTTCGAGTTCCCCACATATTGCAGTTGACAAGGGTGCCCTTTTCATAGACAATTACCACACTATGAGAACCAAGAGTCAACAATAACAAACATGTGAAAGAAAATTAAATTCCCACAGGCAAATCCATCGGAACTGGAAACAGGTCCCAATCACAATTCTTGATCTTGCCAATGCTAATATTATTTAATGTCCTCACAGGTGTTCGTCGTACGCTGGCAAAGACAAGTGCTGCCCATACACTTGTGCTGCACTGTGCTTTCAGCTCATCCATTTCAGAGGGGGTCATGTCGGCTGCTATGTGTAGTATGGGTTTGGCCCATTCATCCGGGTCCTTAGGGATGACGTGATGACCATCAATGATGAGACGCATAACCTGAGAGAGGGAGAATTAGCATAGGAAGAAGTATACCAGTATACCTCGCCTTTTCGACACAAGAATCATCAGAGGATGCCACGGAACCATGATGGTCTAATAGCTCACATGCAGACCACGTCCCACCTTCGCTGCTGATCATCTCAGCAAGCTTCATCTAAGGTCAATATGAGCCGACCGCAGCGGGGGGTGAAAGTGGGTACACACTCAAAGATACGTTATATACACGTCACTCGCATCATCTTGAATGGAACACGCAAGAGCATTCACATGCAAATTCATAATATTGAGCAAAAGAGGAGATAACAGCTTTTGAGTCGTGACAACCAGTGCCATCTCAGGGGGACCAATGGACACCATTGTTGTGTTGGAAGTCATGAAGGGAGAGATGTACTCGAAAAAGGGGTTACAATTAATGATCATTACATAACATAGAATAACATATGACATCATGTCAATCATATGTCAAAAGTCCTCCTCTGTACTGCTGAAAAAAGCTTCAGTATATCCACAGAGAGACACCGTCATGGCATACTCACAAACTCTGAACAACATTATTATGAGACAGGAACGCATGGCTATACTCTCCCACCCATCTCTCAAAGAAATTGGTCTTTCCTTCGAGGGATATGAGCTCCATGAAATCAAAGGGATTCACCACATTGAACTCCTTCAGTAAGGAAAGCCCCACAAGCAAGTAATTGGCCACAAATTCGATATATTTCTTCATGTTCTCGGCATCCAATCTGAGACAAGGCAACTTGAATGCGCCTGTTTGCACATAATAAGGACCATACGAAACAGGGTAGACAGTATACATACCATCCCAGAAAGCCTTTTCAATATCTACTGCACTGTGAATGATTTCCACAATGACATTTCCAGGCAAAGGAAACTTCAAGGTGCGATATAGAGTTATGGCAAAAAGAGTGTGTAAACCTTCATCATGAGCAATGAGCTCATTGGAGAATGACAGTCCAGGCATCAGACCTCATTTCTTCAACCAGAAAATCACTGCAAAGGATCCGGAAAAGAAAATGCCCTCAACAGTGGCAAATGCTACGAGACAAGTAGCAAAAGATGAAGTATCTGTGATCCAATGCAGAGCCCATTCTGCCTTGGCTTTCACAGTCAGATGTTCATCGATGGCACGAAAAAGAGCAGTGCACTCCCCCACATCATGAATATAGGTGTCGATGAGTAGCCCATAGACTTCTGAATGTATGTTTTCCATCATTGCCTGGTACATATAGAAATAATGCGCTTCAGGTATCTGCACTTCCATACAGAACCTTGTGATGAGGTTCTCATTGACAATCGCATCTGAAGACGTGAAAAAAGCGAGGACGGTGGATACAACGTGTCTGTCATTATTGGTGAGCTGGTTATCCCAATCAGGCAGGTCCTTTGTCAAGTCGATCTCGGCAGATGTCCAGAATGCTGCCTTCACCTTTGTGTACAATAACCACAGCTAAAAAGAGAAGCTAATTATCCCACTCCTAACCATTAGACAAGGTGCATACCTCATCATACTCAATCGGAAACAGTTGTAGCCTAGCAGACATAGACCCATCTAATATAGGCTCCATTGGTGTACCAACAAAGAATGGAATTAACAGAGGTGGCAGGCAAGAGCGGGTGAAATGGACGTGAGGGTATACAACTCGAGTAGGGGCTGTCGCTTATCGGTGGGAAATCTTGCATACAGGGGAATGCAAGGCAGCAGGGGGACCCTTGGAACCCCATTCACAGGTGATCTCAAGTCAGCCATCAGGATTTAATGCGTTGGAAAAGGGACATCGGTTGGTAATATATTGCTCTGCTGCATCACAATCACCTGCAATCATGCTGTGGTCATTGCAGAACATACTATCCCCCTTCTTTTCTGCCTGCGAACAGTTACTGTTCATTCAAATACAATGTCTGATTGGCTTTATCATCTCTGGTTCTATGGCACTCTCCTTCTTTATGGAGATAATATTTGAAGAGGCAGACTTGGACTTGTACATTGAGTTCGGTAGAAGGATACCGGTATTCGAGTTCATGCTCCAGGCAGGCTATATTTACATGCCACGACTGAAGCAGAATCCGTCTCTAGAGGATATCATAGACAAAGGTGATATGACGATCATGAATCCACCAAAGGTCACCTTTAGCTCTGCTGGAGACTACAAGGGACAGACAATCATTGCCATGCTAGACTTCGTCTGTCCAGGGAGTGAGAGGAAGGTTCAAATCATGTTGACTAGAGGCACACCGATATACTGTGTGTTACAGTTCCATTCCAGTAAGCCACCCCTTTCACATTAGGCTTAAGCTGACTTAACCGTAGCATGCGTCATGAACTTTATTATGAGTACCCACGCATATTCGCTATATCCACTTGCTACTCTACAGCGCAAATTTGCCGTGAACTCCTTCTTCACCAAAAGGTTGATAGGAGATCACCTGGCTATTGTGAAGTACAAGGAACACGGCTTTACTTATATCCCAACTGGAGAAGATTATGAGGTGATGTTCCAGCCATACAAATGTCGACGAGTGGGGGATAAATTCACTTTGACTGTTAGCCTGAATATGGAGAAGGAAGAAGATGGGGACCTATTCCATCCCGAAATGGCCAATATGTGGTGACTGGTCGATAGTACAGCATGCGGAGCATTTTGGATGGATTGCAGCATGTTACGTTCGGGTTACTTAGATGAGAGTTACTGCATCAGCAGCACACTTATGGTGACAGTCTGCTCAGATGGGTCATTATGGTACGTTTGAACTTTAACACATACATTGCATGTCACTAATCTTGGATCTTTTCAGGAACAATGAAAGTTTATATGATACAATATTATCCGTGACAATGTAGAGATTGCAGGGTTCGACTTTGCTCAGTAATCACATGTGAATGGTCTTACATAAAATTAATGCAAATTTCTTAGACAAGTTTCAGACAACATTCTTCTCAGAGTGTTCTCAACAATGAGTAAGTGAGATGCGAACGTTGCAGTGATCATGTTAACTGTCAGTCAGAGTACGATGAACTACTGTTAGAACTTCAAAGAGAAATCGTCCACAGCTACGCAAGCAGGGCGATGCTACTAACTTTATCATGCACATCTCAAGCCTTCCGACAGCTCTGCTTAGAACACTTATTTGAAGATGCATTCATTACAAGGAGGCATGACAGCATGACATGTACAACCATCCTGTGGCAGAATCCTTCTATCAAACTCGCCATAAAACATCTACATTTTTCAGACCTTTCAGGAACCTGTTGGCCATCCAACGCAGATGCAGTATTGACTGGGATAGTCTCCAAGAGTGCCTTGGGGGTAGTACTGCATGATATGGACCTGGCAATGCTTGACAGCACCTTACTCAGGTCTTGTGTTGGCATGTTCAGTCAGGTTACACTTGCAGGGGGGAGTTACACCGAGACCGCATTGGCCAATATGTTAAGCAGGCAACAGCTGCACTACTCCTTGTACCTGCATGATGCAGAGAATGATACCATAGTGCAATGGAATTCCTTGCCCATCACAGCATCATTCAGCAATGTCCGGTTGATCGCTATCAGACAAAGGACATTCAACACGTACTTTCATGATGATTTCAGTAATCCATCAGTGAGCTGCTTCTCATCCATGCAAAGACTGGAATCACTAGAGATAGACTTGTCCATGAATACCATGCGCTGGATGGAGGAAGTGATGATTGCTGTTGCAAGCACGTTACAAGAGCTTCGTTGTTGGATTGTTCTAGGTAGGAGAGAGCATCGCATATACAAACAACATGTCATCTCACCACTTGGACAGATGAGGCATCACAGAAGACGGACACCGTTGATTTTCCAGCATCTGTGGGAGAGCTAAAACAACTGCATATAATGAGCATCAACACAGACAGCTACCATCCCAAGTTGACATGCAGTGTTGTCCATAAAATGCCAAAGGATCTGGAAACGCTCGAGTTACATTTTGGCGTATACGTGCATACCGAGGTCTCAGATGTAGTCGACGCAGCGGTACGTACACAAACCCAACCTGGTGGACTATTAAAAATGATCTTATATGCAATGAACCACACAGACCAAAACTGGATGCAGTTCACGCAGGTGATTGAAGGTCAATTGTCGACCAATACGAGTTGGCATGCAATAAACATTATATCAAAAGGATATGAAGGTGACAGGGGTTTAAACAACATATTTGCTTTTCAATAAATACACCTCTATTCGCACATTCTAAAACAATGGCCCATCTTCAGAACCAGGAACCTCAATGTCTCGATCAAACACCAACTCGTCATCAACTGCCATCATAAGAGTAGTCTTGTCTACACCGAGGGGTGTCTCATCACACAGATAGGCAGGTAGAGGCTCTTCTCCTTCATCCTCATCATATGAGCTGAAATTGGACAAGCGAATACTGAATTGCACATTCAAAGAGGTGACATTGAAACCCTTCTTATTCTTATAACCAGATACCATGAAAACCAACAGGACGAATTTGCCAGGAGACAGATCTTTGAAGTCCATAGGTAGTTTAGTGTACTCTGTAAGCCGGAAAGGCTGCACACTGCGAAATAAGGGCACTATAAAGTCATAGTCAGCACGGGAATAACCAGAAAGACATACGAGCACTCACCGTCAACATTCCAAGGGCGGATGGCTAAAAAAACAGATGCATTAGTACGTCATCATGTACAACATGGACGTCAACCACGTATGGGGTCCATGAGTCAATCCATCCATAGGAATGTTCTTTGGCTGAACTTCCTTAGCACCTGATTTGAGCGTTAGCATGGGTCCAAATTTCACAGATGCATGTACCACCACTGGGCTTTCTAGCGGTAGAGAATTGTATACCAGACTTGTAGGAAGAAATGATGACATTATTGTACTGGAGAATCTGAGAAAGAACAGCATGCTGCCGAGGCCATGTCCTAGCTAGAGGTTGGATGTTCACCTCACGAGCCCACATACCCTCGGTCAGACTGGAATAAGTGACGTGCCTGACCGTAAAGAAGCTGCACTCGATGTCCTTCTTGTCCACAACACGCCGATTTTCACCAAAATAGGTGACATGATATGCACGAGGATCTGCAGTGAACAGATTAACCATATTGTGGCCTTCCATATGTAATGCAAAGTTGTATATATGCCTAAAAGAATATATATAAGTGAGACAGGCATCGGTCAACATGCAAGCAGACCTACTTGGCTAAGGTTCGGTTTCCTTGGAGATGATCCTCCAAATAGAAGGGAACAATGGTCAATACATCATCACGCCTGAACACCAAAGTTAATTCTTCAATGCAAGGGAGTATGGACATGACATGCTTGGAAGCTCCTACTACCAACTTGGGTCCCTTCAACACGGTGCCAGGCTCAGACACAACAACAACTTTAGCCTGTTCAATGGGTAAGGACACTGACAAGAGGTCATCCTTAATGGGCCCATCAACGGCGACTATTCCAGTCTTAATCACTACGACATCAGGAACAGGTGCTTTGGGCACCTTCACCTGTATAACAGATAAGCATACAAAGATGACACATGCAAAATGGAATGACCTTATCTATGCCATCGGACACATTGTCAGTGATAGGTACAGTCAGACCCATATGTACCGCATCCAGTCGTTCGGGACTACTCTCATTAGAGATGGTACCTTCCGAATCAGTTCTATACCAACTTAGTTATTCACACAGCACGTTATGAAGCAATGAATGACTCACGAATCCTTCTGAGCCAGCCCAGTCACAGGAAGAGACAAGGCTGAACTATAGGAGTCAATACAAATACCGGGGTTACATGAGTCAAGCACACCTTTGGGATGGTTTATTGCCAGACCTATAAGAAGATTTAATATGCATATCAAGAGGAAGACAAAGGAAGCACTTAGTCAGGCTGATGATCTTCAGATGCTTCACAGGCTTTGAATCATCTGATGTATCATCAGGTAATTCTCTGTGATGCCTGATGACTCTAAAATAAGGAGAATGGTCAGATGGAAATACATGTAATTTCAACAAAAACTTGCCCACTTCAATGGTTGTTGCTGGGGGAAGGCATGGTGTTGATGGGCATCTGGTCGAAATCGGCTAGCATTAAATACATGACATATTCCCATTGATCAGTGATAAATAACGAAAAATAATTAAATACTGTTGCCGTCTGAACATCTCCATCCATGCATCCCGCTCCGTCCAGGTGTGGGTAGTGAAAAGGTTGAAGTAGATCAGGAACCAGCAAGATAACATGTACTTCTTTCCACAACGAGGTTTGCTAGGGAATTCCGTGTTCAGGAGGCATGATGGTACGAGACACAATGACCTGATCCCAAAACTTGAGGGATGCGTAAAGAGGAGTGATTTACTTTTCCAATCCGAACTACAACAATGTTGCTTTCATATCTAGGCTGCAACTGGGACAATATCAAGAAGTTAGTATGCCCCATGCAACTGGGTATGTGCACACCTTATTTGTCATATAATCCGCGACTGTCATGTAACCTCATAACGCTTTCATTCAGACCTCTTGCAGTCCAACAAGGCCATGATCAAGCACCTGCAGATGAAGTCCTCACAGCTGGCCCAGTTCGATGACATTGGGAAACTCGGAAACAGCCTAACTGTGGACTCTCTCAGCTCGACGCATACCCATTATTTGCTGTGGGCCAACAGCCAGGAAGAGGCCGTTCTCAACATCCAAGGTGTGTTAGCAGAAGTGTACATACCCCCCATTACCACTGCAGAGATGTAAGCTATTTTCAAAGGTATATCTTCAACTGCTTACATGCAACAGGAAATCCCTGACCAAAGCATATCAATCCATGAAGATCGTTGCTCTTGAGGACGACAAGCAGTTTGCCTCTGCATTACATGCTATTGATAACATCGAGAACTTTATGATGAGGCATTCCTCTCCCATGGACCATCCGATGGCTCCAACCTTCATAGGAGACCTTAGTGCCATCCATGCAGAGAATCGTCTGCTTGTTCCCAGACACTTCTGTAGTGATGCAGCTATTGACCCGTCTCAAGAGGTGGATGCGAATGGAGTATTGCGTGCTACGATCAGGAAGGGTATGCACATGTATATGGATGATAACGTGGTACTTTTCCAAGAGTGGACGAAAGATAATGGCAATAAGACATGAGTGTCCGCCTACAGAATTATATGGTAAACTAATTGTGCCACAGTGTTTCCGGTGAGACGCTGTTAAGCACTAACTCTAATCTGAACCAAAGCTGGTCTCTATCCTGTCACTCGCATTCGGTGATTCAGTGTTAGAGAGGCGTTGGTAGATTGCAAGAAGTTAGGCATCACTTTATAGCAAAAGCAAGGAGCTTGTAAGAGTTAGGAGTATATAACCTTAGCTGAAGCTGGGGTCTAAGGCCACAGCATAGGCTAGCTTAAATACATGTTAGGCTCATACTAAGAATAGTGTCTACAAGGGCACATGCCATGAGAAGTGCATCTTTCAATGAATGAGGAGTGAGGACACTAAAAGAAGTGTACTCCTGATGAATGAGAGTAAAGAGCACATATCACCTGCATCTGTGCAGGACTCCATCTGAATAGGCTGCATCCCGTAGACCGCCCTTGACTGGCGGTCGACTCTCGTTCAACTACTAAGAAGCATGATGCCATCAAGAGAAGCATGATGGCGCATGTGGGTCATTGGTCACCTGGGAGCAGCAGTGATGAACTGGGGTGACAGCAACCGGGTAAGTGGGTAAGGAGTGTGCTGGTGGAATATCATGGGTCTGAGAGATAAGATAGGCAGGTCCGGGGTTCCGAGAGATAAGGATAAGATAAGATAAGGAAAATAGGGGTAAAACCATAATAATACCCCCTGACTAAGACTGTCATCCCGACAGTCCTTTAGATGTACTTACTCCTTGAGTCGAGGGAGTTAGTAGATTCCCTATCCCATTTGTAGTTCTTGGTTTGTTCCCAAGTAGACATGCCCCGTTCTTCTTGAGGGAAGCTGGAGTTGGTCTGAGTCATTAGAGGAGACTCAGAACACTCGTCTTCAAAGACGTCTTCATCCATGTCCGATGAATAAAAGCCCTGCTCGTTGGAGGATAATGGATCGGTATGATTCCTGACTGGAAAGAGTGTTGAGCTCTCGGTCGAAGGGCCAGGAGATGATATGGTTATACATCCCCCTTCCTTCCCCAAGTGTCGCAAATTGTGATCCTCTATGCGGTCTTCCTTGTCCTCGTATTGTTTGATGAGTTCTTTGGCATGGGCGAGATTGCTCCTCTTGACCCAGGTAGCTTCCTCCACTGGGTATCCCTTCCATTTGACCAAATATTCTGTTATGGTCCTCCAGCTATGTCCTTGACCGACGACACGGTTGCGGTCCTGAAGTAGTTCCTCTACTTCATATTCTTCTTCGCCTTCCACGAGCTCCGGTTTGGGTGGCGGAGGTTTTTCCTGGTTGGAAAACTCCGGGGGGACATACAGAGTTAGGTATCGTTCATTGAACTTGTTGTGGATCTTCCATCCTGGCAGCAGCTTTAGTTCGTATGTGGAGGGCCCCTTTTTGGAAACTACTTCAAAGGGGCCGACATGTTTGTTGCCTAGCTTTTTTGCTGGTTGGGGGAGGTGAAGGTTGGTTGAGTCCAACCAGACTTTATCTCCTGGTTGGTACTCCTGTGCAGGGCGAGTGTGTTTGTCATAAGCCTTTCTCATAACTCTGACGGCTTTATTCAGAGAGTCTTCCGCTTGCTTGCATACTCTCTGGAGGCTTTCGATGAAGTCAGTTACCGATGGTGTTTCCGACTGCCTCACCGTGGTTGGACGAATGTCCCCATCTCATCTAAAGACGATTTTGATGGGGGAAAAGCCCATTGCAGAGTGTTGGCGGTTGTTGTGAGCGAATGCTGTCCATTGCAGCCATTCGCTCCAGTTGTCCTGTTTGTGGTTAACGAAGACTTGAAGGTATTTTTTGAGTTCTTGGTTAACCCGCTCCATTTGTCCATCTGTCTGAGGGTGATAGGCCATTGATGGATTTCCTTGAATATTCATCATTGCGTATAGCTCAGTGATGAATTTCGACATGAATTGGGGTCCTCGGTCGGAGATGACTTTGGAGGGGGTGACTCCAAATCAGCAAATGATCTCGTCACGTAGGATTTTGGCCCATCCACTTGATGAGAGTTCCTTTGTGCATGGAATTAGCACAATGTATTTCGAGAATCGGTCTACAACGACTAATACCACGTCGTAGCCTTTGGATTCAGGAAATCCAGTAATCATGTCGACTGAGATGTGTTCCCAGGGTTGAGATGGTACAGCATTGGGATGTAGCAGAGCTGCTTTCTGCTGCATATCAGTTTTCGTCCTTTGACACGCCTCGCATCCTTGGATGTAAGTTTCCACGTCCATTCGCATTTTGGGCCACCAGTAGTCCCTTAAGACTAATGCTCTGGTTTTTTCGATGCCCGGGTGTCCTGCGGAGACATGGTCATGGTGATGGGAGATGAGTTCTCCCCGTAGGGTGTGGTCATGGGGAACATAGATACGTCCATCGTAGAATAGCAGGTTGTCTTTCTCAATGACCCTCTTCTCGTGGTTGAGGCTCAAAGCAATCCCTCGGTCCCACCATTGGTGATCGCTTGTCGCTCTTCGAATTTTGCCATGAATTTCCTCCTCTGCTGGCACTATTAAGGCATGGAAGAATTCTGGCTTCAAGAGGACAATATCGTCATTGTCCTTCTTGCCCTGGTCATGGTCGGCCCACCAGCTTAGAAGGTCGGCCTTCCTATTGGATGCTCCTGGCTTGTGGTTGAGTGTGAAATGGTATTCTGCTAGTTCAGTAACCCACCGCGCTTGTCTGCGGTTGAGTTTTTGGGGTTTGCGGAAGTATTGCAGGTTTGAGTGATCCATCCAGATTTCGAAATCTTGATGGGCACCCATAAGGTAATGTCGCCATTCTTCCAAGGCGATCATTATTGCTAGCAATTCCTTATCATAAATCTTGTAGTTCCGTTCCATCACGGAAAGAGATTTTGATAGGAATGTGATCGGGCACCATTTTCCTTCCTGTTCCTGAGACAGGATGGCCCTGATTGCTCCTTCACTGGAGTCCGCCTCCATGCGAAACTTGTTGTAGTCGTTTGGCATTGCCAAAATGACTCCTGTTGCGAATTGGCATTTGAGTTCCTCCAACGCCTCTTGTTGTTCCTTTCCCCATGTCCAGGGGACCTTCCCTGTAAGTTTCGTCGTTGGTTTGACGATTGCGCTATAATGCCAGATAAATTGTCGATAGAAATTGGTGAACTCTAGGAATGACTGTAGTTCCTGCTTCTTGGAGGGCGTTGGCCAGTCCATGATACCAGCAATTTTAATTGGGTCCATTCTAATGGATCCCTCGCTGATGATGACTCCAAGGTACTCGGTCTTGAGTACCTCAAATTCGCATTTTTCTGCCTTCAAGAACAGTTTGTTCTTTCGCAGAATCTTTAGGACTTTCCACACAATTCTTTGGTGTTCCACCTTGTCCTTGGTGAAGATGAGGATGTCATCCAAATAAATGGTGACTTTTCCCTGAGTAATGAGATCTTTAAAGATATCATTCATCATCCATTGGAATGTGGCTGGTGAATTGGTTAATCCAAAGAACATAACCATCGGTTCATAGAGCCCCCAGTTAGTGTGGAATGCAGCTTTGAACTCGTCCCCTTTTTTGATTCGAACGTTATTGTATCCCCAGCGGACATCCAGCTTAGTGAAATACCTCACGTCCTTGAGCTTATCCATAAGATCAGAGATAAGCGGTAAAGGATAGCGGTTTTTGATGGTTATTTCATTAAGCTTGTGGTAGTCTTGTACGGGCTGCAACTTTCCATCCTTTTTCTTAACAAAGAAAAAGGGAGATGCCATTGGGGACTTGGAGGGTCGAATTCAGCCAGTGGCTAGGTTCTCATCCAGGAATTTGTCCAGCTCCTCTTGCTCCCTTGGGTTCAAGGGGTATATCTTGCAGTCCAAGCTGGCATTGGCATTGGGAATCAGCTCAATGGCATGATCCCAAGGCTTGCGAGGGGGGAGTTCATCAAAGTTTTCCTTGGTGAAGACATCGATGAAGTCTCGATAATGTTCAGGGACAATCTCCTTGAACAATTTTATCTTTTTGCCCTCATTGGCCTTGGCTGCTAAGTCATTGGCTTTATGTCCCACCACTTGTATGTGAAAGGCTTCCTCAAAGTCTATGATGAGGATGGTATCTCCATCCTCGACTTCAGTTCCCCACTGCTGTTCTGGATCTTCGTCTGGGAGATGGAATGGTATTTTGCGGCAATCACAGCATGCTAAAGTTACTAAGCCCATGTTCCAGTCAATAAGTGGGTTGTGCCTTTGTAGCCAGTCATGTCCTAGGAAGATGGGTGTGGTTCCTAGGTCAATGACTGCTAATTCAATACGCTCGCTGTGGTCTCTGATTTTGAGTTGGACTTCAGCGAATTCGGTGATGTTGCCACCTTTGTTGTGAGTACCATCTGTGTTATAGACTGGAGTGGGGTGAGCCGCTTTATGTGTGATAATACCATGATCACGGGTCCACTGTTGGTCAATAGCACTTCTGGTACAGCCACTGTCAATCAGGGCCTTCACGGAGTGATGGGCCACAGTATCAAAGGTTTCCAGTTGTAGGGTGATTGTGATATTTTGCCCCTTCATTCCTCGGACATATTGGGGTGGTTTGATAAGCTGGTCCATGTGTTCCAGCTTTCGGTATTCGTCCAGATAGGATTCCCCAACTTGGTGTTCCAAGTCAGTAGCTAGTGGCTCATCCACCTCCGTTTGTCATCGAGGGTGGACCCACTGTTTGAGAAGTGACATCTTCTCTCCCAGAGTCTTGGTGAGTCGCATAGCTCGCTGAGTCCAGGCGGCTCCGAAGGGCTTCAGCCATTGGGAGTCCAGAGAGTACTCCACCGATGCTGGCGGTATCGGGGTCTTCCTCTCATCATCGCAGTTCATAGGCTGCAAAGGCCCTGCTCCTATGACCGTGCAACCGGTCAGTTCCCTTTCGCCTCAGTGCAGACACCCACTTGGGTTAGTTGGGACTTCACTGTATTTTGGAGAGTTCCATAAACTCTTTAAATAACTAGGATTTTCCCTGCCATCAGTGCTATCCTTGAAGGGGAGATG